GGATGGATATTATTTATCTAGAGCAATCAGTAAGCCTGAATAAATGTGAGTTTATGTAGACTAACACACTCTAATTCTGTATCTTGTAGTTATGTAAAAAATTATTGTGTTAAAAAAATGCACTAATTAGCCACTTTATTGGGCACATCTTACAAGGCTGTGCTCTATTTTTCATTTAGAGCAGCTTTAAGCGTCTGTTGCAGATTTAACAAAGGTGAGTTGAGATATAGTGAGATATAGTGGCCGCAAAGGCAACTTGACGTTTGATTAAAAAAAAAAGAAGCAATTTAACCAGATTAATTGTGCCAGGAGGGGATCAACATGGTCTAAAGCAACGCCTATGCAGGCTGTAGTTCGTAAAACGTTTCCTCTTTTTTTTTTTTTGGCCATTATTTGGGAGTCATTTGTGGGTAGCAGCACAAGGTAATGAGCTCATACTGAAAAGAAATCCCCAATAAACCTTAAATGCATTGAGATGCTGCAATGTGATTGGCTGATTTGTGTTAGCAAAAAGTGAAAAGGTGGATGGTGAATATATAGGTCTTTATGATTCTTACTAACATCTTTATTTGAATGCAAAGATCAGTTAGGAGGATAAAAGAAAAAATTTTCTTGACATCTTAATGAGATTTCTTTGGTTTGCTTTAGTAGAAATCACACAGACGAACAACTCCTCCCTGTTTCCAATGAATTAACTGCTTTGTTTGAAGAAGCTGCTTTTCGAAGTGTTTCTTCATCCCCTTCCTTTAAGGGTGGGTCTTATGATCCGAACACAGCTAACTTTAAAGATAACCCCCAAAGAGAATGTATTATATCTAAGCTCGGAGATAACACCCTGGAAAAACTGATAGATAAAAAACTGAACTTGGAGTTTAAACCTTCTTCATCTGCAAATGGTAGTTTTCTGTTTGAAACATGCTTTGATAGCATAGTGCAGATAGAAGAGTGACTGTAGAGGCTTTAATTCCAGCAGAACAGGAGAATCAGGCTGGATTAATCAATAGTTTCATTTTCTTTGCTTTTTTTTTTCAACTTTGCCGTTTCAAATGCTCTTATATTGATTCCACTGTAGCTGTTCCTGTTTTATAGGGAGTGCAAAGCAGCCCATAAATAAAGTTTAATTGATTTATTGATAGAAATACAAAGAGTTATTTATGGGTAATCACCTTGTAAAGATTTATAGATTTATAGATAAATTTAAAGATTTATGGCTTAGTGTGTCTAACTTCTGCTACAAGTTCTAAAGGTGTTTAGATTTATTTATAGCAACTGAATCTAGATAGTATATCGTGTCTAAGGCCACAACATTTCTAATGAGATAACGTGGAAAAAAGAAAGACAAATGGGAGAAAAACATTAGCTAATAATGTGGTATTTTAACTTGTTTTGTGTTAAAATAAATGCTACATAATACCTAGTTTAGATTGGAGGAAATTCTAGTTCAAAAAGAGAATAAACAGCTTTAGGTATTATTAAACGACTTTGCTTTTCCCTCCAAATCCAAACCACTAGAAACTTTTAAAAGAAAAGCATCCAGTTCATGGTTGTGTTTTGATTTAGTAACGACTTCAAACGCTTTCCCCCATGTTGGCATATAACTGTGTTAGTAGTAGCTCCTGTGAGATCCATTTATCATTTATTATTGTTGTGGCGTATTTAATCTTAGGACATGATTGACTTAATTTAGAAACTTGGGCACTATTAGCTGATTTTTAATCAATTATAAATAAATTAGTTTATACACCACTTTAATTTGGAAGTGTTAGAAATACTTGGGAATTCTATTCAAATTTCAAGGAATTTTTTTTTATTATTATTTATTAAACCACATTACATTCTGCAGTAATCTCTATAGGCCAGTCATTCTTCATCATTAGTTTTGCTTTAAGAGATTTTAAGTAGATTTTTATAATATTTTTTGGTTACTCGGGCTGATTGAAACATCTTTGAGGTAACGTGCTTCTTCAGCTCGAATAAATCCACTGGTAAACAACGACTGCTGGGAGAAAAAAAAATGGACTGACAGCCAAGATCTAGTGGTGGTCTTTACATGGAGGGGGTTAGTTTTCCAATAAAAACTCTGAATGAAAACACATTAGGTTCCAGAACATTTATTCCCATCTTGTAAAGACTGTTTTTAAGACAATAGAAAACAACATTTTATTCCCATGACTGAAGAGATTTCCTTATTAAAACCACATGCTTATCCAAAGGAATCTAAAAAAGCAGAAAAAATTTTTTTCAGGAGATAAACAAAGGTGTAAAGCACCACTATGGGAGTAATGGGAAGCACAGTCACAGTAGTAAAAGATGTAGCCTCTACACTGTGCCTTTATCTGACAATGATGCAATGTTGTTTTATCCTCAGAGGATTTCAGAAGCAAAAAAAAAAAAAGAAAAGCATGTATTTTTAGTTAAGAAACCAAAATTATGCATTGACCTGGCAGATTTAGATTTAAAATAATTTAATTTAACCAGGAGTCATGTTGTGTCAGATTAGAAACTAAAGAGATTCCAAAAGACTATAAAACAAAATTATCATCCTAATAAAATACACTTCAGTGCTGATTGGTTCTTAGAAAGAAAAATGTAAGTTATACTACTGTAAGGTTATTGTGCAACTTTTTTACATTCAGTCCCAGTGTCTCCTTAAGCTTTATTGAAGAAAAAATTTAAATAATCTTGACATGCAAATAAGAAAAATAAAGCGTTACTGTTTTAGCAAAACTGTTCTCCTGATTATATTTATGACATCCGATTGGAGATAGGAACTGAACAGATACTTTACATGGAAACAATACGTTAAAAATTACCAAATATAAGACTTGTTCAGGAAGAGTAGTATGGATTAGGGCAGCTATATAATGAGCTGTATCACATTGTGGCGATCAAACAGAAACATTACAACGTAGAAAACATTCTAGTTCAACGTAGCCTATATTGTTTCTGCAGACCAGACGGGTTGTTGTCACCAACCTACTTTTTAGAGAAAACTCAAATAATAACTGATCTTTTTCTATCCAACATCTTTCCTTGTTTAAGTCCACTGAGGAAATGATTTTGAGAAAGAGAAAAAAGATGTTTCAGAATAGGAAGTTTTTACTGCCAGCCTAGTTTTAACAAACAGGATTTTTTTTTAAGTTGAAATTGTTTCACCTGCAGTTTTACATCAGACTTTGTTTTTTGTTTTTCCTTTTGTAAGTTTGATCTGTTATAAGTACTTAATTTCAAGTAAAGATGGCTACAATTATTTTAGCACTGAATAAAGACAATAAGAATTTCCTTTACATTTATTGACCTTGGATTCAATCAGTGAGGCTTTGTAAGAGCACCACCTAGAGGATTTTTCTGTGCAAAAACAGATGGGTGGTGACAGACTGTAAACTGAACCTCCCTGAACACTGAGGGGGGGAAAAAAACAATAAGGAAAATGATAAACTTAAATAAATACATATAATCTTACACAGGGAGGTAAAAAATATTTTACGTTATCAAAGAATGAGTTATAAAAAGTTAACAAATGTGACGGGTTGGGTTTTTTTCTTAATTTAACTACTGAGAGCTTTAAAAAAAGGCACCCTAGAAGTCAATGGAAAACTCTGGAGGAGCCACACAGATGTATAGCTCAGGCTTAAATGAGCTCTACTACTATGTTTGTAAAGAGTCCAGATTTAAACTTTCTGGTCCATGTTAGGAAAAGCTAATGGCGTTCATTCCACTTAATGTTCCATCCCCAGTATGGAAAATTGGCGGCAGCATCTAGACCATGATGTATGGTTACTGACATCAGAAGTAAAAAGCAAATGGATGGAGTTAATTACAGGAAAACACCAGGAAAAAAGACAGGAGGCTGTAAAAGACTCCAGACGATAGTGAAGAGTGAGCTTCCAAAAGGTCTACAACTCTAAGCAAACAGCCAAAACCACAATGTGGAGGCTTTGATCAAAGCATATTCATGTGCTATAACAGCCCATCAATGTACAAAAATAAAAGCAGATAACATTTTCCATATACTTTATATCTTTAACTGTAAGGTTACAAAATATGGATGTTTTTTTAAAAATTAGTTGAAAGCTTTAGGAAGGCACAAACTTAGTTCTTACAGTAATGGAAAATAGATTATATAATCAATATCTTTTTTGCATGATACCCTGGAAATGTTTAGGTTTTAACTAATCAACTTTCATTTTTGCTTCAGTGGAAGATTTATTATGTTTTTCAGCAGCAAAAGAAAAAAATAAAAATAAAAATTGTGAGCAGATGTTGTTCGACTCCTACTGCTGAAAGACTTGTATTACTCACTCATTATATAGCGATATTTAGGACAATCCTATAGTAGATCTGGGACTAGATCGTTGGATTCTATTGAATTTGAACTGATTGGACTGATTTGAAACAAAAAGTAGTTTCTCATAAATGAAATGATATTTTTAATTCCGACGTTCTTAAATTAGATTGAACAGGGTTAAAAGTAAAAAAAAAAATCGGTAAGAAACACAAAAACAAAAAATGTAAAACAAAACATTTGCACGTTCTTTACCATCATGTGTATAATTATCACTTGTTTGTGGCTATTTATTTTTCTTCTTTTTTATTTTATCTATTTATTTATTTTTAGAATAAAAGTTAAAGCGCCACTTTACAGTAAAGGTTTGAAAAAAAATATGATTTAAAATAATATTCGTGGGAATATGGGCTTTTATTTTAGGAGCTCCCCTACTTCCGTTTACAGTGACGTAACTTCCGGCCGCCAACCCTGACAGGCTTTTTTCGCGGTAAAATGAAACTGGGTTGTTTATGCTGATCCCGTCGATTCTCTGTATTTGTTTCTAACACTCACAGTATAGTGGGCTTTAGCGGGTGTTTTTACTTTAACCGGGTTGCTAGTTTTGTTATGAGGCGCGTGGACAGCTAGCTTTAGCCGTTAACGTACCATCGCGACAGTGAACCGACTAAAGGAAACACTCGGCATTTAGACGAATATTTGAAAAGCTGAAACTATGGCGCTTGTAACTACAGAGAGTTTAAAGGCAGAACTCGAGACTTTTGAGATCACCTGTGAAGATGACTGTGTCCTCGACAAGAGTGAGTGTTTTATCCTCTGCAGTCTGTATCTGTCAATCACATGCTTTGTGTGTTTATGTGACTTAACGAATGCGTCTTAAGGCCTATACATACCTCACGTTTGGCCTGCACGTCCGTATTTCTGTCCGTACGTTCTATCCGTTGACTCCTTCATACCTCCGTCCGTTGAGGTGCGCAATAACCCGTATTTCCTCTAGGTGGCAGTGCTGGGCGCCAATGATTCGTCATTGATCAAAACATGGCGATGGTCCAAGACCTGATTCTGTTGCATTCTAACCTTCTTCTTCTTCTTCTTCTTATGGGATTTTATGGCGGTTGGCAGACTTGTGAATTGTGCATTACCGCCACCAACTGATATGGAGTAAAGCAAGATAACAGGAAACGATTCACCCCCCCCCCCCAAAAAAAAAAAAAAAAAAAAAAAAAAAAAAAAAAAAAAAAACCTGTGTAACTTAAACCAACATAATACTAAATCACATTTGCCCATATAATTTTAATTTACTCTAGGTCATCTTAACTCTGCCAGTTTCTGATGGTCCCATCGGTCCTCCCATCATACTTCCAACCATCTCCCAGTTCAAATCTTTAATGTCCAGATATTTTTCTGCAGCCTTCACTATTATTTTGATTTTTTCCGTTTTTTTTGTTGTCTGTGCAGTACAATTAATTACTTCTACCATGAAAAGAACAAAATTTGTCTTTTTAACAATAAGTGAGTCTTCATTAATTTTTGGAGATTTCTCTAGAGGTTTGGAATTTGCTGTGTGTTGAACTGTAGGTTTGGGTTTTTCTGACTGAGATGGGATCCTTTTTGCAGCTTCAGCGTAGGTTATTCCGAGCTCAAATTTCATTTTTTTAATTTCCTCAGACCTTTTGCTTGCTTCACAGCCGCGATAGGCAGCAGTATGTTCTCCACCACAATTACAGCATTTTATTTTAGCTTCTTTTCCACATTTTCCGTACTCATGTTCTCCTGCACACCTTCCACACCTCTGTTTCCCTTTACAAACTGCTGCAACGTGACCGAATTTTTGGCATTTGAAACATCTCAATGGTGGAGGATTGTAGATTTTGACATTATAGCTTATGTAACCGATGAATACTTTGCTTGGTAATTGCTCTTCTTCGAATTTAATTAGCACAGATAAACTGTCAGATCTTTCTCCGTTTCTTGTTGTTTTTAACCGTTTTACTTCTTTTACTTTTGCACCGCTTATGTTTTCCAGAATCTCTTTTTCAGAAATTTTTAGAGGAACTCCTCCAATGACTCCCCTGCTGATCTTTTTGTTCTCCATTAGGCTGCACTGAACTCTTATCCCGTCAATTTTGTTGATACGTATTGCTTTGCCTTGCTGGGCGCTGTCTCTGCAGTTAATTAGCAGGTCTCCACTGTACAGAATTCTGGCACCTTTGACTTCTCCGACAAGTTTATTGATGGTTTTTGTTAAGTGAACCGGATTCCAATTTGTAAAAGAGTCTGCCTGATTAACGACTTTGAATATGACTTTGAATTCATTTTGTTGTGCTGTGGAATGTATGGAATGATCATCACTGGATTGTTCTGAACTAGATTCCCCTTGAACTGATCTCTGTTTTTTCCGCTTTTTCTCATTTTTTGATGTTGCTATTTTCCAACCTTCATTGTCACTATTTCCCTCTTCCACCCCACAAGAATCGCTTCCTGTTTCCTCACTACTCACGGCCCAAGACATTTCTCCATAAGCAGCTTCAAAACACGCGCCATGCACCAAACGACCATCCCACATGCAATCCTCATGACTTCTAACCTTCTTTGTGATTTTGTTGACATTTTGTACTAAAAACTCAATAGCGCCCTCACCGTTTCCGGTAGTATTGCTCCGTATTGATCCGTTTCGTCCGTAAGCGTAAGCTCCCAAATTTCGTGTCAAAGTACGGGCGAAATCGACGGTTAGAACGTATGAAACACTCCACACGTATCCGTATCCGTCTTTTACGTGAGGTATGAATGGGCCTTTACTTCCATATTGTAGTTCTTTACTGCTATTCATTTAGAAAAAAATAATCATAATTGTACCTACATTTTAATTATAGCTAGATTATTTAATTTCAGAACTATAAACCTTAATGCATTGCATTGGGAATTAGAAATGAATCTGAAACATGTTTAGGAGACCCTTCATCTGCAGACCTCTGTCAGAGTAACACATCTGAACACAGATTCTGGATCAGGACTGTCTGTGAATACCACTTGTCAGGACTTGGTTCCAGTTTTGAACTGTTTGTGGTCCAAACTTGTGTCTTAGCTGAGTGATAATCTTTGATCCTGACCTTTCCATGGAAGCTCCAGCTTTGTTTACATTTGTCTCAAGTGTAGCTGCTTCTATCCAACTTTATTTCAGGGTAATCTTGTAGTTGTACTTAGCAGATTCCATGTACTTCGTGATATTTTATAGATCTTTTTTTTTGTTTTGACCACATCTACATGCTTTTTTGTACCACTCTTCCAGAAAACATCCTTATTAGTATTTAACTTATTATCTTACCTGAGCTGTGCATCTCTCAAGCTCCTCCAGCAATGAGGCTATTGGCTGATTCTCTGTGTGCATGGAGGTCTTTGTTGGTTTTCCCTTGTGATGGATTATTTTCATTTATTAAACCTTTAAAAGTTTGAGATATTGTGTCGAATCTTATTTAAAGGTTATCCACAGATTTATCTGCAGTCGGCTTGGTTTTTCCCTTAAACGGATGTGGAAGGAAAGATTGGCCACTAATGTTCTCCAGACCTAGATTTTTCTTTAGAAAATCTGGATTCCTACTGAGATGAAATCACTTTATTATTTTTATTTATCCATCACATTACTGCTAAAGGCTAGTTGTTGTACTTTCATTTATTTATTGGTATTAAATTAAAGGGAATTCAATTTAAATTTTACTTCAAACGTCTCTAGTTTTCTTAGTGTAACATTTAGAAACTCACCTTTATTTCCCCTTTACAATGATGCACTGATATGTCTGTCGCATAAAACTAAAAACAAACACTTATCACTGTGGTTTTAACTTGAAATTAGAAGCAAACATATAAATAATTTGAATAGTGCAGCTCCTCTTGATCTTATCTATGTTATTAATTGTGCTCCACAGTGGTTGAACTGTGCATCTGCAGCAGGACGCAGGCAGAGCAGATGCTGTTTGAGTGGGTCGCCTACAGTACCACAAAGGATGGCCTCAAACTCACCCTGGACAACCTGGAGCACTTCGAGCATGAGGTAACAACTGTACTTACTGATATCTAGTCACATCTATCTACCCAGTATTTTACCTTAGCTCTTATCAAGCTGATATTTTGATTCATGATGTTTAAAAAAAATCCTAAATGAATCAAATCAACTGCTTCATTAGCTTTAGATTACAAAGAGCAATATTCTTCCATCCGTCATTCTGATGGTTTATATTCCTGCCTAGTTTCGCGTGGTGTCAATCTAATTTTGCATATTGCATTATAAAGATCCAATTTTGTTCTGTTTTGGATTTATTCTATTTTTTTTTCTTCTTCTTCCAGTTCCTAAACAAGAGGAACAAATCCAAATCCAGCTCAAGGAAAGACGACAGTTACAGCCGACCCATAGATATTAATTCATTGCAAGATATGTATCCTTCACACCAAAAATAAAAAATTCCCGTGTTTTGGTAATGAGCGGTAGGAGGGGATTGCAGACCTTGACAAACGTCTTTCTTCAGAATAAAAGAAGAAGAAGAGGAAGAGAATCTTTTGGACTCTTATTCCACTCCAGGGAAGGTAAAATCAGTCACGGTTTTGTCATTTAGTCTTTTTCAATACCCGTGTTTAAACAGTCAAAGAAACTCTAAAGCGATAAGCTGAAATCTGTTGGTCTGTTGTCGTACAGGGCTCTCAGAAGCGAGCTCTCTCCACCCCAGAGCATCCTCAACCCAAACGATCCAGCGCCCTGCTGACCAGCCCAGGCCTGCTGCTGTCTCCTGCAAACTTTTCCCCCAGGTATTTATCAGCTACACAATGCAAACAAGTTGCTTTACTTTTTTTTTTTTTAATCCAATACTTCCATCTTTGCCATGCATTACTATTTTTAGTTTTCAACCAATTAAAGACATTGAAGTCAATACCCAAACGAAAGCTTTAAAATAAAGCTTTTAATAAATAATGTAAAATATATCAGTATTCCAATAAAGATCTGTCTTTTCCCCGACAGTGTAACCCCTTCCCACAAGTACAGCCAACGAGGAAGTAAAGGAGAGGTAGTGGTTACGTTTGGGGCCGTGCAGGGGGCCCGTTGGACGGGCAGGAAGGATCCGGGTGCAGGTGTCCAGGTGGATCTTCTAGAGGGGCCAGAGGACTCCCTCCGCAGCAGCTATAAATACATGTTCCAAAGGCTGCGAGATGTTCGAAATGGTACACAGCACATTCACAAACAAATTTATAGTCTCTTTTAAATAGGTCTGGGTATTTTAGCCAAAGTCCTGAATCGATTTGATTTTGATTCATAGGGTTCTAAATCGATTAATTGCGATCCAATCTGTTTTTACAATAATGAAAGTGGTTATACTGTGTTTCAAAACACTCATGTATTTTATTTTTTCCTGTCATATTAAACGCAAAGTTTAAACCTGAGATGTGAACCAAACTGTCTCAAAAGTGCAAAGTTGTTTGTGAAAAGGTTAAGCCTCACTTGAGCGAGCAGACGTCACACAGTGGGGAAACAGCAGACATGCATGAGCTGCATTATCTTCACTGCACAAACTATATTTGCAGTGTTGTCTGTAACAACTACAGGGTGATTGCTGGTCAGCTCCCATAGGCTAATGTCTTCAGTCAACCTATTTTCTATATTTGCAGCTGTCTGGCTTGAAGTCATCTTGAGAGCATCTTTCCTGCTCATTTGAATTTGAACATCACGTGCATCACTATAAAAATAATCAATCTCATTCCCTAGACATCGATTTTGCAAAAATGTAAAGGAATTGATTCAAAATCGATTAAATCGATTTTTTTTTTACCCAGCCCTACTTTTAACACTTCCGTTTAGGTATGGACATCATTTCTTGCTCAAAATGCACGAGTCTCTCTCAGTCCGTTCTTGTCTCCTTATTGAGACAAAGTTCTACTCTGATTGAAATAATTAGACTTATTTTTATTCCGAATATGTAAAGAATGTCATTTAGTTCTCAGAGTCAAAGATCCCTATTAGTGCTGAACCCTTAGTGTTCTTCACTATCTTCTCTGTTTCCAGCTATCAGTCTTCTTCAATCATCCATGCCTCTACCATCCAGTTGTTCATCCTCCGTTGTTTTTTCTCTTGTTGTTTATTTTTTCCTCCAGTGTTGACAGAGAAGATAGAAGAGCTGGGAGAAAGCCTGAGGTCTCACTTCAACATTGAGGAGTTCTCAGCTGCCTCTCTGCCCGCTCAGGTTCATAACACTTTCTCTAAGAAGCTTCAACATGGAAATCATTGCCTTGACATCGGTCAGCCGACCAGTCTTTATTTAGAAATCAATGTTTATAGAGTCAGGTGTGAAGCGAACAGTTTCAAAGTGGGGTGAAGTTAGGAAGCTGAGGCAGAGGCATTTCTTGCAAGAAATAAGGTTGAAATTTATTTAACTTTCTCAGACGGAGGGATGGAGCTTCTGACTGCGGCAAGCTCAGCACATACATTTATACAAACATTTATACATTTTACAAAATCACACACTCCCCCCAGGGGAACCAACCCACCCCCTGCATAAGGAGCTTTCTTACACTTGAACATTGAAGCAAAACAACTTGATTTCATCATTGCCATTCCCTGTTAGGTTAATATACCCTTTGCACACCATGAAGGAGGCTGTGTAACTCATTCTTATCTCTTAGGACCTTCCTTTGGAGCCTGTGAGGCTAAAAACAGACATATCTCAACATTTTTTTATTCACAGTGGTTATAAATTGAATGGCTTCTTTTTGGAAATTGTTATTTTTTTGGGTGGGGAGGGGGGTTGACAAATTTATTAAAAACAATAGCTTTTGACAAGAAACAGGCTGTTAGATATCCATAAAAACATATAAAGAGATAATGCAGACATTTATTCTAATTATCGTATTTTCCAGACTATAAGCCACTACTTTTTTCCTACACTTTGAACCATGCAGTTTATAAGAAGGTGCAGCTTTTCTTTGGATTTTTCATAACCGCCAGCGGAAGAAGTCAAAGTTGGAAATGAAAGAATAAGGGGCTAATTTTCATTTAGCACAAAAACATTCTAGCAGCAGGAAAGACAGAGAACAAATGTCCCGAATTCACACATTTACAAAATAACTTTATTGTCATTTTGTATACACCGGATGTATACAAAAATAAAAATTTTGATGCATAAAGCTTTTCAATAGAGCAGCTTACAACAGTGAAATGAACATTGCCATTTATAAAGTGCAGCAGTGATCAAGAATGTTGGCAGTGTAGGAGAAAAGAAAAAATTTTGTATGAAGTCCAAAACATGGAGAACCAACATTCACATCAGCTGTGAACTGTTGTCCTTAAGGCTGTCCTCTGGTAACATCCAGGACTGACGTTAAACTTTCATAGAGAGAAGTAGAGACTCACAAATTACTTCTAGTGTAAAGAAAGATGAAGCAGGAGCTTCCAGAGTAAACCTTCTAGGTGTAGTCATTAGGTAAACATCAGATGACCACACATATGTCCTCGATTGAAAACATTTCTGCTCCTATTAGAACGTACCTTGTCCAGAACCATCCTGGTCATTAAACCTTCTTCAGGGTGTTTTGTTTAATGGGGTGAGCTGACTGTCTACCTCACTGATTCTGTGTTTCTCCCCTCCAGGACAGTATAACAGTGTTGGGTCAGGTTTGCTGCGACAGTAACGGTAAACTGAATGCTCAGTCGGTTCTTCTGGAGGCGGGGCCAGAGCAGGGCGGTCAGCAGGTTCCAGTTGACCTGTCTGAGCTTAAAGAATTTTCCCTCTTTCCTGGTCAGGTGAGCTGATGAAAACCAGCTGATATGGTCTGAACTGAGAGCTGTTTTCTATTTGATGCATTTATTCTAAAAATATCAGCAATAGTGGTTCTTTAAAGTGTTTTATGTGACACTGATAATCAGAATGGTGGTCTCTCCTTTGCCTCTGCGCTGAGGTCAGTGTGCAGCAGGTTATATGGCCACCAAGAGAAAACGGGGAATGCCAAGGACGACGGCTGGAGACAGAGCCGACGTCTGACCGAGAACTCCGACAGTTATCCATTAACTTTTCTTTACTGGCATCCTTTCACCCATCACTGTTCCTTATGCAGACTGGAAAAGGGTGCAGGAGCGTCTACTTTAGAAATAAGCACACCGTTTGTTCTGAACACCTTCTCTTCTTCCAGGTGGTGGTGATGGAAGGGATGAACACAACAGGAAGGAAATTTGTGGCCTCCAAGCTTTATGAGGTCAGACGGACATTTTGATTTCTCCTCTTTTTATTACTTTGAGCCGTTTCTGCATCATGAATTAATCCTGTGTTTATTTAGGGAGTTCCTCTTCCGTTTTATAACAACAATGTAAAAATGGAGACTGATGAAGGTAAATAAGAGACAGCGGTTAGTTGTAGGTTTTGCATCATTTTTTCAAATTACTGTTTAGAATTCATCTGTGAATTTTTATTTTACTTCTGATTCAGTGGCAGAGCCTCTGAACGTCCTGGTGGCCTGTGGACCATACACACCTTCTGACAGCCTGACCTTTGACCCCCTACTAGACCTGATCAGTATCATTGTCAGAGATCGTCCTGACGTCTGCCTGCTGGTAAATCTTCTGAGTACTTATTGGAAAACGCTTTTATCAGTGTGAAGGAAAAGCTTCTAAATTAGTTTATTTACAGAGTCATAAATAAGTGGTGAGCGTGACCTTTGTTCTTCTTCTCTAGTTGGGTCCTTTTGTGGATTCCAAGCATGAACAAATCGAGGTATGTTTCAGTTTCTTTTATCTATTTTAGCCTCCATGTTTGAAGCAGTTTAAGTGTGACATCCATCCATCTGTGTGTCTCACAGAAAGCCCAGGTCACCGAGATGTTTGAGACGATTTTTTTCAGATGTGTTGAAAGCATTTTGGACGGAACCAGGAGGTATGTCACAAAACGCTGGTTAAACCTCACAGCTGTTGGCTTTTTACAAAAAACCAACCGACATCTCCTACTGCTTTGATCCCAAGCTGCCGGTTCTTTCCTATTACGCTGTTTCTGATCATTGCATCTCTGGGTTTTCCAGCATACTTACGTTTTTCTTCAGAATGTATTTTTTGTGCTCCAGCTATAGTATCGTGTTTGTATCGGCACTTTTTTGTATTGTTGGTGCCTAAAATAAGAACATTATTCATTCCTATAAAACTAATTTGTGAAAGCTATTATTTCCAGTAGATTAGATCATTTTAATGTCATCTTGACTGCTTTCTATAAAAAAAGGAAAAGCTACAGTTCACACTAAGAGGAGCTTAGCAACCCATCCTTAAAATCACTGCAAAAGCTGAAAAGGACCGAATTAAAAACCCTCCTGTAATGAATAAAGGCCTCGAGTTTAAATGCATGCCAGAGAAACAGAAACAGCCTCCTGTTAAGAATCCTTGTGACGAGTTTGTTTACTCGTATGACTACATAAATCATAAATAAATATAAAAATATAAAAACATAAATAAATCCCATTGATTTTTTTTCATCATCCAATTATAACCTGTTCAATCCAAGTAGATCCTTGTTTTCAGAGGATTGATCCTTTTCAGATCCTGGGTCTGACTTTAATTCTTATAACAAGCCATCCTTCTGAAAATAACTCATGCTGTACAGACGATTATGCCAAAAAAAAAAAAAAAAGACTTGCCTCCCATATTTTTCATAAGGTGCTGCACCTAAACCTAAAACCTTCTTATTTCTCTCTTGTGAAGTGTTGGCTGTCAGTTGGTGTTTGTCCCCTCCCAGAGAGACATCCATCACGACTTCATCTACCCACAGCCTCCATTCGTCCTGCCGAACCTCAGCAAGGACCAGGCCCAGGTCTCTTCTCTCTCACAAACAAATTTGGAAGATTATCTGAACTAGGCAGACTTCTTCTCTTTTGCTGATGCAGCAAAAAAAACGCATCCTTTTGTAATTTTTATTCATACATAATCTACCTGAGATTAATCATTTAGTTTTTCTGTTACATTATCATGTCTCAGGAGTCACATAAGTCTTCATCACTGCAAAATAATAGTCTAAGTCAGTAAAATAAGTGCTTTTTTTTCTTGAATTGAAGTGAGACAATTTGTCAATGGAATCAAACGTTTTGCATTTGAAATAAGAAAAAAAAATGCATTGTCTTATTTCAAGTGCATAGCATCTAATTATCCTATTTTAATATATAATAAGAATATCTTAATTACCTGCTCAGATCGTATTTGCAGTGCATTCTCTCTGATATTTCTTTCTGTCCTGCAGCGAGTCACCCTGGTTCCTGACCCCTGCACCCTGCTGATTGACGGAGTGACGTTTGGTCTGACATCCACCGACATCCTCTTCCACATGGGAGCCGAGGAGATCAGCCGGTGAGGAGCACCCTCAGGTCCTTCTTTCTGATTCCTGTTTGCTCTCATCCGAGTTAAATAAGTAAAGCTTTATGGTCGTTGCAGCGGCACTGGCTCTGACAGATTTTCCCGCATCCTGAACCACATGCTGACTCAGAGGAGGTAAAGGTCCCCAAAATTGTCACTTTCCTGTTTTTCAAGACTGCAAACACTGATTTCTGTTCTGTTCTGCAGCTTCTACCCGCTGTATCCGCCCACGGAAGAGGTGAACATGGATTATGAGAAGTTCCAGATTTTCGGCCACATGTTGCTCACTCCAGATGTTCTTGTCGTTCCTTCGGAGCTGCGTTACTTTGTGAAGGTACGGAACTATTCCGGAGAAACATGTTCAGCCATGTTATTGCTTTTCTGAACCCACCTACCTTGCATTGTCAGGATGTGGGGGGCTGTGTGTGCGTGAATCCTGGACGGCTCACCAAAGGCCAGGTGGGAGGGACGTACGGCAGGCTGCTCATCCAGCGCAGCGCTACGGCCAACGACGGCAAGAGGGCGAGTCCGTGTTTAACTGCTCAGGTGGTTAAAATATGATGCAGTCAAACATAAAAAGCTGTAAAATTAGCTTTATTAGTTACACGTTTTCTGTTTTTCTTACAACAAATTCAAAAGTTTGTCATTGCTGTTGAAATCATAATAAATGTTGGTCTATTTTTCTATTCCAAAAACATCTAGTGGGCTGTTGATTTCAGAAATAAAGGAATTAATTTATACAGTTTTGTTTTGTCTAGAATCTGCAGATCCATCTCTTTGCTGATTTATTAAAAAAGTTATAAAATAAATACATTTTCCACAATCCAGGGTTTTTTGTGCTTTTTCATCTTCTCTCAGTTAAAATCTACTTGAACTCAAATTTCCAGATTGAAGCTCATAAAAGCTAAAAAATAAATGGGATTAAACAGTTATATATATATATTTTAGAGATTTATGTCACTAAAGTAGAACATGTTTTTATCTACTTCATTCAGTTCAAGTGGGAAAACACTGGAACAATGAGTGGTAGAAAAAGTGCAAAGGCAACAGAGATGACCAGAGGCTAGAAAATAAGCCAATCACTAAAACAGCAGCTCAGATTCACAGAATTTGGCCTCTTCAGACCAAACGGGCTTCCTTATCTCCTCCAGCCCATGCCGAACTGCTGCAGAAATGTGTACAGTTACTGTACAGTGGAAATACGGCCCACATTTCGCCATTAAATTTTTTTTATCGTTTTATATTGCATACAATACTGTTTGTGGTTTTATTAGCTCTAAGCATTCATCTTTACATCTAAAATGAGTTAATATGAGAGAGATATGTGACATCAAGTAAATGTGACATTATAAAAGTTTAAATCCAGTTTATTAAGCAATTACATCACAATACAAAAAAAAAAAAAAACATTTTAATACAGGTTATTAAGCCATAACATCACAATATAAAAAAAAAAAAAAACATTTTAATACAGGTTATTAAGCCATAACATCACAATATTTAAAAAAAAAAAAAAAACAATCTAGTAAGAACTACTATAAATAAGTAATTTGCTGGAAAATGGCAAGAAAAATACCAAAAAAATAATTAAAAAACTAAATGAAAAAATAATTTAGTGGCTGTGGTCAGTAATACGCCGTGCCATTTGCCGACGAGCCACCGGAACTGCTGCCACAAATTGAGCTCGGCCCTGCTGTAATATGAAGTGCATAGAGCAAACTTAAGTTCAGTCCCTTAATGGTTTAGTTTATTTAAATTTTCCTGTAGAGGTTCACCTGTTCACATGCTCCCATCACCATCTTCTGCAGGGCTCTCAGCTAAACATGGAGGATGCCTGTTAGTGATGATAACATCAGGTTCCTGCAGTCTGCTGGCTTGTTTCCTGATCCTACTGGTGCTGTTCGACCATGTGAAGGAAGTCACTCTACTGCATAGTTGACGTTTTATTTCCTTTTCAGCCATCATTTAGTCATAGAAGTGATCAAACTCATCTGAGTCACTTTTATGGTCTGTTTTCACGCTGGCTTCGGCCACTTGGAAGATGTCCAGGTTGAGACATTTAGCTGAAAAATAAATGCAGTTTGAATCAGAAGGATGGACATCAATCACTGCAACATGTTATTGTTTGTGTTTACCTTTAGGATTCCCTTCACTTTTCACAGTGTTTGCTCTAAAGACATGAAGTAGTGATGAGAAAAATATTCCATTGTGCGTTTTATGAAGGAGAAAATGTAATAAAAGAAAAACGTACGTTTTGTTTGTTGGCTCTTGAGGTGCTAGGAGATTCTCTATATCTTCATCACTGGATTCTTTTGAGTTGTTTAAAGATTGGGAGTTACTCTCCTCTTCCTCATCTTCAGCTGCTTCCTTTGGAATATTCCTCATCTGTTTTGACCTAAGGCCAAAGGACTCAGTGATTTAGTTAAAATTAAAAACAGGAGGTTTTCTCCCTAACTTTGTCATACCTGTTGTCATGTGGAGTGATGATGCTGTCTTCTGAGTCTCCTGCTTCATCACTCCTCAGCTGACCTTCCTGCTCCTCTTCTTTTTCACTGCCTCCATTCTCTTCCTCTTCTTCCTCCAGCGAAGAGGCAGAATCCTGCTTCCTGTTCTCTAGCTGCTCTTCATCTTCTTCATCCTCCATCCCACCCTTTACCTCCTCCCCATCGTTGTTCTCCTCCTCGTCTTCCTCCACATTACTGCCTTCTTCACTTGTCCCTTTGTTCTCTTTCCTTCCATCTTCAGACCCTGAATTTTCCTCTTCATCCTCTTCATCCCTCTCTTCTGTGTTGCTTTGCTCAGAGCTGTTACCTTCCTCATCATCTACCTCCTCACTTTTTATAACCTCACTGTCTGATTCATCTTCGGTCATCTTATCTTCTTTGCTCCTGTTTAGCTCCTCTGCTTCCTTCTCTGGTGTCACTGACCCACTGCGCAGCCCCTTGCCTCGCTTTCTGCTCCTGCCGCCTAATGTCCCTCCTTCCTCTGAGGAGCTGTTGGTTTCTGAGCGCACGGCGACTGGGGACAGGGTAGCAATAATTTTGCTGGAAGTCCTGGATGACCTTAAAAGAGTTGGTTGAGATGAAATAAGAGCTGTCACCATGCATACTGCAGTTATAGATTCAGTGGAACACTAACAGATTTTATGATACTTTAACAAAGAGCTACCTCTGGTTTCAAAGTAAGGAATCCTTAATTATGTGATTTATTATGAGGTTAGGACTTTCAGCTTCAGGTTTTCAGAGTTAAATATTATAGATTGATTTTAAATGTTTGTATTATGCTTATTTGAACAAGTTGTGGTTAGGCTGATTAGCCAAAAAAGGTTTAATATGTTAAAGGTTTAGGTTTGCAAAAGAAATAACAATTCTATGAATATAGTAATAAAAAATTTAAAAACTAACATATACAAACTAATAAAAGTCAAGCACTGCTTTTCAACCAAGATTCAACAGAATCATTTCAATAAAATGAACTAATGAAAGAGGCCTGGACAAGAAGGATGGTCCCCCTAGAAAAGATTGAAAATATTGTGATCAAATGGACGTGTTAAATCAAGGTGTGTCCAATAATTAGCCTCTCGGGTGTCTACAATCTTGTAATCAGTTAGTTTGCCTATATATAGGGCTACAGGTAGTCCTTGTGCTGTTTGCTGACATGGTGTGTAGGAGGAAAATTGATCACAAGTCAAAGGGACGGATGATATGAGTGGTAACAAAATAGAGATCAGAGGTGAACTTCAAGCTCAAGGAACATCAGTCTCAGATGAAACCATCCGTCATTGTTTGAGCCAAATGGACCAAGGAGGAACCAATAGTTGAGAACAGTAAAATAGACAGACTGGAATTTGCTAAACTACATGTTAACAAGCAACAAAGCTTCTGGGAGAACGTTCTTTGGAAAGATGAGACATAAATGGAACTTTTAGCCATGGCACATCAGCTCTATGTTCAAAGGTGGAAAAATTTTAAAAAGCATATTAAGAAAATAACCCTGTCCCTATTGTTAAACATGGAGGAGGCTCTGTTATGCTCTGGGGCTGCTTTGCTTCATCTGGGGCAGGGTGTCTGAACCTCTGCAAGGTTCAATGAAATCTCCAGACCATCAAGTGATTTTAGAGAGAAATGTGCTGCTTAGTCTTACTCTCAGGTCATGAATCTTCAACGGAATACTGACTCAAAACATACAGATAGAAACAACAAGGAATAGCTAAGACGAAAAAATTGGATTATTCTGAAGTGTCCCTCTATGAACCTGACCTAAATGCTAATTAGCATCTTTGTAAGAAACGGAAACATGTCGTCTGGAAAAGATAATCTTCAAATCTGAGACAGCTGGATCAGTTTTGGCATGAGGAATGGGCCAAAATACCTGCTAAGAGGAGCAGGAGACTTATTGACAGTAACAGGAATTATTTGATTCAGCGATTAACACAAAATGTTGGACAACAAAGTTTTAAGGGTTTATAGTCTAGACCTGTTCAATGAGTTTCTTAAAATCATTCTGTTGAAGCATGGTTGAAAATCAATGTCTGACTTTTATTAGTTCTTTTTCATAGAATCTTTATTCATGACTACTTTAGTCAGATTCAAGTTATTTCTGTGACCAATTTGGGGTTTTATTTTTCTTTAAAGGAGAGGCGCCAACAATTTTGTCCACATTTGTATTTTAGCTGCGGAAACAAAACTTATTAAAGACTTATATGAACTAAACAGGCACTGAATCTGTTCTCTGTATTTCCATCAGAGGGTTTTTAAACCTTACATTTTTTTAATATCTACAGTTATTCCATCAGTTGTTTCATTTTACATAACAGTCATATCATGTAGAAGTCGATCCAACCAATGGGAAACGTACATTAAAAGTAAATTTTATATTAACTTGTTTCTTTTAACATTAAAAGAATATTAATGTTCATGTTCAGCCTTTTTTCTTATGGGCACAGCTAATGACGAGGGTGATTTCCTTCTAATCGTAAAGGCTTGGGAGTTCATTACCAGGAAACCAGTGCAATACGCTGGTCAGTAATTGAAGCAAAGATGTCACTACTGTAATGCCAATAAATAACTGTATTTTTCATTATTAATTAGTCATTATTCAACAGACCATTTTAACTGTAAATAAAAACTTAATAAATGTTTTCATTCAAAACTGCACAGACGTTTCATAATTTTAGAAATGTCTGAAAAAGAAAATAACTTTAGATCAGTTCTCATGAATATTTTGGGCTCAACCATGCTAACGCTCATTTAAAGTGAACTATGGATAATTATAATAGGTTAATTTTGATATTTAAGTTTACTTTAGATTTCACTTGATTTTTATCCCAGCCCCAATTTTATGTAGTTTAACTGTAAAGAAGGTATCTGCCAGAGATGGCAAAAGTACTGACTTTCCATACTTGAGTAAAAGTACAGATACTTGTGTTAAAAAATACTCTGGTAAAAGTGGAAGTACTGATTAAACTTCTTTACTCAAGTAAAAGTAACAAAGTACAGGCTTGTAAATTTACTTAAAGTATAAAAGTAAAAGTAGAAACCACTTTTTTCATGCCGTTGCCTACATTTTAAATGGATGTCTGCCAATAGGACTAGATCTCCGTTGTGTTCATTTTCAATCATCTCGTCGTCCATGCTACTATGCTAACGCCACCGCCACCAAGCTGCGATGATTTGCCGCCAATGAATACCGCCGAATCTGTCCATTCATCTTGTATTGGTGCGTCAAATGCAACGTAGATTGCCATCCAATTAGATTGAATTTGGTATTGATGACATGAAAAATAATAACGGTAACTCCATTGAAATGATTCAAAACTAAAGTAACGAGCCAATTTTTTAAAATGTAAGGAGTAGAAAGTACAGATATTTGTGTAAAAATGTAAGGAGTAGAAGTAAAAAGTCGCCATAAAAATAAGCAGTAAAGTAAAGTAAAAATATCAGAAAAATCTACTTGAGTACAGTAACGAAGTATTTGTACTTCGTTACTTCCCATCTCTGGTATCTGCCTTATACACTTTAAGACAGAAACAATGTGACCTACCAGCATTCGTTAATCTATCAGATTTTACTCATTTTTACAGACATTGGTCAATCTATTTAGTATTTTTAAGCCACATCCCTCATTTAGAAAAAAAAAAAAAAACTCCTTAAATCAAAGGATGACTTAGTGTTTGATGCTATTATAAAAGCCTTAAAGCAACAACTTAAAAACAATCACCTTATAATAATACAAAGCGTCCAGAAATAAAGGATTATTAAAACATTTACACCGAGCTAAATTTTTGTCATAATAGATTCTACTAGATTCTTACTTCTGAGAACCAGATCTTTCTGACTCTGAGGATGAAGGCTTTGTTTTTCCTTTCTTTGTCTTCTTTTCTCTGCTAGTCAGACTGGAATCTCTGTCGCTCTCACTGGTTTCTGCATGTCCACTGGACAGACGGACTTCATGATGTGGAGAAAAGATTGATAAAAGAGATTCATCTGAATCCATTTTACTTAAAAACAGAGTTAGTTTCCTCGTTTTTTGTTTTTTTTTGTCATCCTCTTACCTGGTTTGATGTCGAGCTCAGTGGACAAACGTCTTCTAACTTCACCACCTCTTACTCTCTTTGAAATTCCCAGGTTTGTCTCATTGTTTTCCTCCACGGTTTGAGAACCCCTCTGTACTGACGGTTCCTCAGAATGAAGCTGACCTGCAGATCCTCTAGAAAAGCCTTCGTTGTAGCAAGGAGGATCCCAGCCTGCTGCTTCGGCTCTGGAACATGGCTGATGATGAGCAGGTGAGGAGGGGAGATTTGGCAGCAGATGTAGGTGAGAATATGGGAAGTTGGGAGGAGGAAACAGGGAGGAAGTTTGTGGTTGAAAAGGGGCTCTAAGGAAGCCTGGAACCATGCCTGCTTGGGTCAGCCAGGAGGACCCTGGATGGGGATAGTCGGAGGAATTGTTTTCACCATCAGCAGATTTCTCTTCCATATAAGTTTGAGGAGCGTCAGATGTTTTTGACCTCATATAAGGATCTGTAAATAAAAATAGGCTTTATAGAAGGAGCTCCAGGTTTCTAGTTTAAATTATAATAAGATATATTCAAGCACCAAAAGATGAAAACAAACCTTTTGAAATCAATGGTTCACCAACTGTTGCTGTTGACACTTGATCTTTATTCTGTCGTGAATTCAGACAGTCCTCCATCCTCTGTTGTGGAAATAAGCATTAAAAATAGTGTGTAATGCAGAATAAAGGCTGTCTGCATTATAAGAACTTTGTAGAAAAACCAGAAAAAAGGCACTAATGAGGAAAATATAATCTTGAGATTCTTTCTGTTAAACATGTATTTGTTTTGAAAGTTAATAGATGAAGAAAGTAATTCATGGTTGGAAATAGAGGAACATTTTCCTTCGATTGAAAATCATTAAAAAATTTAATCATTTAAAATATCTTAAATCTATTTGTATTAAGCTTTTGTGAGTAAAAACTTATCAAAACAATCTTTTGCTGCAAGTTTTTAAGGGTTTTTATCTACCAGGACCTCACCTTTAAAAACTCAAACTTTCATCGTTTTTTTTATTGCAAAAAGTTAAAACTTTGAATGAAAGGTCAGCATTGGGGAACATTGTTTTTATATCGGATTGGCAAATAAAGTGAGGCTAGAGTGAGATTGTTTGACTCATTTTCAGCCTTTTATATGTTCTTTTCTCCATCCATCTCTCGTTAAGTTCCCTGTCTCTGCACTAGAAAGCCTCTATGCGGCATGATAGGGCCAACACCATGTTCCAACACTTGCCAGAAAGTTCAGGTTCAGTTTCCTTTGACTTCTTCCACATATTTGTGCTGTTCCTTAAAATAATTTTGGCAAACCTTTAAAATGACTTCAATTATTTGGTAGTAAATATTAGTTAACACATTTACAAGGCTCTGTTTCTGGAGCCAGTTGTTGGTTTTTTAATCACCACCTCCATATAGGGCGCAGTGTTTATACCTTCCTCTGAGAGGCCTGTGTTTTCTCCAGGAGTTGCTGTTGCCAGCGGTGCAGGTTTTCATCCAGGTATCTTTCATACTCCATCTGCAAACAATAAGGTGTAAAGAAAATTAGCATCTTTCATTCCTGGGACACCCGGGAAAATAAAAAGAATAGAAAAAAATGCTACTATTGTCCCTGTATCTGTCATACACAATAAAATATGTTTTAATTTAAATGAAGGAATGAGCACCATACAAGCATGATTCAAGTTAAAAAAACAAAGAAAAAAAATCAGAGCAGCAATAAAATTAACATAAAGAGTGAATCCCACACCAGGTACAATAGTGACATTAGGTTGTGCAGTTGCGAGGGTACAAGAGAGGGAGAAATAAGTGTTTGGATTCCTGCTGGATGAAAACGTTTTTTTTTTTTCTATTTCTGATGAAGTGTGTTGTGTTGCACCCGTATAATTTTCATGGCAGCATTGCGGGCCAGCATTTCTCTCAGTGTGCCCTGAGCTCTCTCAAACTGTAGTAGCAGCTGCCGGTTGTGATGGTGGGCTTTGCGCTCTCTCTCCTTCAACTCCTCCAGATGCTGTTGAAGCTGCATTCCTCTGCTACACAAAACACTGAGAAATAGATTTAAAGAATGGTGACTGTGGCTGCATATTTGACTTAGACTTTACTGGCATGAAACATGAGATCAAGTCTTCCACAGCTAATGATGTATTGTTTTTTTATGAACCAGGTCAAATCCAAACTGTCCGTCTAACATAGGAAAGGAAATTAGTTAGAATTTGTCGCTGTCCAAAAAGAAGCCAGTTGAAAATCACCCTCGGCTTAAAGGTTGCTTAATTTCCAACAGCCTGTAGGAATAAGAAAATGTTTTCTGCAAATAAAGTAGGAAGAGAAAATAATCAAACATATGTTTGGAGGAGACATGATATAATTTTCAATTTTATATGAGCTCTGTCCAGTCAAATAAAGAAGTTGGTGTAGCCCATGATAACTTCTGACTAATGCTATAAATTTATCCAGACTGCTGTAAGATTAACATAATAGGTTGGTATGAAACAATGATGTTCTCTTCTGTCAACCTTTTTGTTTTAAATGGCTTTAAACTATAGCCCCAAAGAGCATAATCCTCATGTGTGACATCCCTGCTCTCTGCCCCCTATCTATTTATGTACCTTACCTCTTCTCAATAAAGTGGCTTCTTTGTTTGGTGAAAGTATTTTGTTCCATGCCGGTAAGATGCTCAACAGAAAGCAAATTCTCCCTTGGTGTAGCCATGTCTGCCAGCGCTCCTTAGATGAACAGATTATCAAGGATTAAGAGTGATGCTTTGAGGGGGAGGGACCAAAAGCATGCAGCCAATCCACTTATCTACATGCTTGAGGGGCTTTACAGTTCTGAGATACATTACATTTTTGTTTCACCACACCGATAAACAGAGCTTATATATATATATATATATATATATATATATATATATATATATATATATATATATATATATATATATATATATATATATATATATATATATATATATATATACAATTATATATATAAATATATTAGGGGTGTGAATAATAATCATTTTGTATCGATGCATCAATCCAACAGCCGACGATCCGATGCCTCGATAAGTTCGCAAGAGTATCGATTCATTTTTTTTTTTCCTCCGGTCTATTTTTATCCATTTGCTCCTGGACGTAATTCTCCCTCCCGTGCTGCGGTGGCGCTAAACCTATTTTGCCCTCCTGCCTCGCTTCCTGGTTATACTCTTACAGCAGTGTGTCGCAGTGAGCTTGACACAGACATTTTTGATTTATGCTCAATATTGAAGCGTGGTCTGGGCTACACGCTGTGGGTCTAGATACGGCCGAGGTGGTGAGGAAGTGGGGCGAGTTTAGTCCGACGATGGAGGGATATGAGGGCCAAAAAGAGCGGAGATCCAGGTGGAAAAAGGGTCTCAGCGGTCTCGCGCACCTCGCTCTTCTAGTGGGTCAAACTTCACGAGTTGTTTTCAATTTCAGTCATAAAAACAAAACAAGCCGGCCTCCTGTCTGTGGCACTATATATATATATATATATGTATATATATATGTAGTCATATCATCAGTGACTCCTCACACCCCCACCATGGACAGTTCTCGCTGCTGCCCTCTGGAAACAGGCTTAGCAGTACTCACTGCAGGTCTGCAATAGCTTTTTCCCCACTGCCATCAGACTGTTGAACTGTTAAACTCTAAACTGGACTCTGCATCACACTCACAACAATCCTTTTAAATGGGACACAATTCAATGTTATACTACATTTTGCACCATATTCATGTTGCACTGCAACAAAACTTTCCATATGAATGCTCTTTTTTCCCTTATTTTTAAGTGGTTTTCCTTTTTTCTTATACTGTTTACATGTTGATGATCACTGCTATACTTTAAATCATAATGTTCATTTCACTGTTGTAAGCTGTACTCTATGTATATATATATATATATACATACATACACACATATATTAATATGGCATGCCGTTTAGGAAGATATTATTATATATACTGACAAGAGTTACAATATACTGAATGAAACTTGAATATTTTGAATGATGTTCTGAGAAAATTGAATGAAACTTGAATATATATATATATATTTGTGTATATATATATATATATATATATATATATATATATATATATATATATATATATATATATATATATATATATATATATATATATATATATATATATATATATATATATATATATATAAACATATATATACATTTATATATATAAATATATTAAGGGTGTGAATAATAATCGTTTTGTATCGGTGCATCGATCCAACAGCCGACGCTCCGATGCCTCGATAAGTTCGCAAGAGTATCGAATCATGTTTTTTTTTTTCTCCGGTCTATTTATATCCATTTGCTCCTGGACGTAATTCTCCCTCCCGTGCTGCGGTGGCGCTAAACCTATTTTGCCCTCCTGCCTCGCTTCCTGGTTATACTCTTACAGCACTGTGTCGCAGTGAGCTTGACACAGACATTTTTGATTTATGCTCAATATTGAAGCTTGGTCTGGGCTACACGCTGTGGGTCTAGATACGGCCGAGGTGGTGAGGAAGTGGGGCGAGTTTAGTCCGAAGATGGAGGGACATGAGGGCCAAAAAGAGCGGAGATCCAGGTGGAAAAAGGGTCCCAGCGGTCTCACGCACCTCGCTCTTCTAGTGGGTCAAACTTCGCGAGTTGTTTTCCGCAATTTCGGTCATAAAAACAAAACAAACCGGCCTCCTGTCTGCGGCACTATATATATATATATATATATATATATATCATCAGTGACCCCTCACACCCCCACCATGGACAGTTCTCGCTGCTGCCCTCTGGAAACAGGCTTAGCAGTACTCACTGCAGGTCTGCAATAGCTTTTTCCCCACTGCCATCAGACTGTTGAACTGTTAAACTCTAAACTGGACTCTGCATCACACTCACAACAATCCTTTTAAATGGGACACAATTCAATGTTATACTACATTTTGCACCATATTCATGTTGCACTGCAACAAAACTTTCCATATGAATGCTCTTTTGTACCTTTTTTTTAAGTGGTTTTCCTTTTTTCTTATACTGTTTACATGTTGATGATCACTGCTACACTTTAAATCATAATGTTCATTTCACTGTTGTAAGCTGTACTCTATGTATATATATATATATATATATATATATATATATATATATATATATATATATATATATATATATATATATATATATATATATATATATATATATATATACATACATATATATATATATACATACATACATACATACACACATATATTAATATGGCATGCCGTTTAGGAAGATATTATTATATATACTGACAAGAGTTAGAATATATTGAATGAAACTTGAATATTTTTAATGATGTTCTGAGGAAATTGAATGAAACTTGAATATATATATATATATATATATATATATATATATATATATATATATATATATATATATATATATATATATATATATATATATTTATGTATGTGTATAAAAGTTGGAGTTGATGCTTCTTGGCCAAGCCGGAACTTTGCTGTTTTGTTTCCCTCCGGTTATATTTTAATGTCACAACTACCATCGAATGGGAGTAGTTACTTGCAGTTCCTTGTTTATACAGTAAGATATGTCTATATTGTCAGGAAATACTAGTGTTATTTAATTTTCTCGGCTATAATTAGCCATGCGGGAGGTTAGTGACTTAATTGTATTGATTGATAGTTGTGAAGAAACGCTAACAGCATTATTTAGTTAGCTACTAGCTAACCAACCATTCTGTGCGTCTGTTAAATCGCTCCTTCTTCTACACTGACCCATACGCGGTTTCAGTTGGCTCTAAAACATGACAGGTTTGGGAAGCAAGTTGTTCTGCAAGGTGGGGAAGTTCTGCGAACACATCCCCGTGTTCCTTAACACCTTCCTGGTGTTCTCGATCACCGGGGAGGTGAGCTACCTGGTGCTGGTGGGGGCTCCACTGGAGGCGGAGCAAAAGGAGACCGTGTGGTCCAGCTGGTGGAAGGCGCTGCACCTGCTGGGCCAGTATTTCATGCTGGGGAACATCTGCTGGAACGCCTTTCTCTTCCTGAAAACCAGTCCCAGCATCAAGGGGGTGTTCCTAGGAGGAGATGGACTGGGACAGGGCTGGAGGTGAGGACTGGTTGACTTCATTCTTGGAAATCTATCTGTAATTAATGAAGAATTGGAACTTCATAAATCAGTTTCAGCAATAATCATATGAAACACTTAGAGTCAACACGTAAAAAATAAATATATGTAATGAAAGCAAAGGGTGCAGATAAACAACATCCAACTTACAAATAATGGACAGTTTGCAGTATATGGCACTAAGGATGTGTTCAGGAGCAATTAGGATTACACCCATAAATTGGATTTAATTAAAAGGAAGTAAAGAAGAAAATACAACTTCAACAGTATCACTGAATTGCTGGGATAACTTTAAATTTCAAACTCATTTGTTTGTGTAGAAAGGACATCAATGGGCTAAATAATATAATTTGGATAATCAAATATTTTCTCTCAGTAATTCAGGTAGTTTAATTCCTTCTTGGCAATATATTAAATTAAACTATATACAATTGTTATTGAGAAGAAGAAATAATGCAACTAAATGAAATTGGGGTGAAATTGGCTATTATTAGACTTACTTATTTAGAGATTTACACCAGTTTTCAAATATGCATTCTTTAAAATAGAAAACAGATAACAGATTTTAGGTTCTAGAGGCCTTTTACTTATATTTTTGAAAATAGGAGGTTAAACTAGAACACAAGTAACGATAAGACTACGGGTAGGCCATGCTTTACTAAATAACAGTTTTAAGAATAAGGGTAAAAACCAAAGAGTATGTTGTTTGCGCAGAAAAAGAAAATGTAGAACATATATTTATTAAATGTTTTATATATTTAGATGAGAGAAGAGAGTTAAAGGAAAATATGCAGAATGCAGGGTGGGAATAGAGTTGGAAGGAATTTTAGGTTCAGGATTGAACAAAGATATTTATAGTAGGGCTGAAACATTTAATGATTAATCAATTATTGAAATAATAAGCAACCTAATTTAATAATCGATTAACTGTTAAGTGGAGTACAGAGACTCTAAAACGTGGCTTTAGCTGAAAGAGCAACCCACTTAGAGCAGTAATTATATCAAAGTTATATTAACATTTTGCATTTAACATAAAAAAAAATCGTTTTCATCTGTCAGTATACTCTATAGTGGAAAAAAAATTGTTTAACCTGGTTTAATTTAATAAAAAATATTCTTTTAGGAACCTTTGGTTATTTTTTGATTAATTGAAAAAAGAATCCACAGATTAATCGATTTGCAAAATAATTAGTTTCAGCCCTAATTTATAATTAGAAAAGTATTATATTTTTTTGTTTTTACTAAACAGAAAAAAAGAATTTAGCTTGCAGAGGTTGAAAAGTTACAGTCTTGTACAGTAGGTGGCGGTATGCACCTTGAGGTTGTCTATAATCATTCAGCAGCTAAGTTCCTCCTCCTGCTGCCTTGATGTTCTACCCACAGCTTTCTTTAAGAAAGTTTTGCCTGTCATAGCATCTGATTTGACTCAGATAATAAACACGTCCCTTTTGTCAGGTGTTTTCCCGCAGTCCCTAAAAACAGCAAATATCAAACCACTGCTGAAAAAGAACAGTTTAGACAAACTACTACTCCAGAACTACAGGCCCATATCAAACCTCCCCTTTATCAGTAAGATTATTGAAAAAGCAGTGTTTCAACAGTTAAACACTTTCTTAGATATGACCAGCCGCTTTGACGTGTTCCAGTCAGGTTTCCGTGCTCACCACAGTACAGAGACCGCCCTTATCAAGGTGTTTAATGACATCCGTATAAATACAGACTGCGGAAGAACCACAGTGCTGGTACTATTGGACCTCAGTGCAGCATTCGATACTGTCGATCACTCCATCCTGTTAGAGCGCCTGGAAAACTGGGTCGGCCTCTCTGGTACAGCTCTCAACTGGTTTAAATCCTACTTAAAGGACAGGGACTTTTTTGTGTCAGTAGGCAACTTTACATCAGAGATGACAAAAATCACATGTGGGGTTCCCCAAGGGTCCATTCTGGGTCCCCTCCTATTCAATATCTACATGCTCCCTCTTGCTCAGTTAATAAAAAACAACAACATCAGCTACCATAACTATGCAGACGACACACAGCTTTACATCACCATGTCACCAGGTGACTATGAACCAATTCAAGCACTGAGGAAATGCTTAGAAGAAATCAATGCCTGGATGTGCCATAATTTTCTTCAACTGAATAAAAACAAAACTGAAGTAATAATCTTTGGACCAATAGAGGAGAGATCTAAAGTTAGCACACAGCTTCAGTCGCTTCAGCTAGTAACCACTGATCAGGCCCGAAGTCTAGGTGTAGTGCTGTATTCAGACTTGAACCTCCAAAAGCATTTAAAGACAATTACAAGGTCGGCTTTCTATCACCTGAAGAACATTTCCAGGATTAAAGGACTAATGTCTCAGCATGATCTGGAAAAACTAATCCATGCGTTTATTTTTAGTCGAATTGATTACTGCAACAGTGTTTTCACAGGTCTGCCTAAAAAGTGGATCAGACAGCTGCAGCTGATCCAGAACGCTGCTGCCCGTGTCCTCACTAAGACTAAGAAAGTAGAGCACATCACCCCAGTTCTAAAGTCCTTACACTGGCTCCCTGTATCTCAGAGAATAGACTTTAAAATACTTCTGTTAGTCTATAAATCTCTGAATGGCTTAGCACCTAAATACATCACAGACTTGCTATCAGTGTATCAACCCTCCAGACCACTCAGGTCTTCTGGCTCCAGCCTGCTCTGCATACCAAGAACCAGAACTAAACATGGAGAAGCAGCATTTAGTTCCTATGCTCCACTTATCTGGAACAAACTTCCAGAAAACTGTAAAAGTGCGGAAAGCCTGAGTTCCTTTAAATCAAGACTAAAAACACATTTGTTTAGGATTGCCTTCGACTGTTCTAGTTAAACAATTCAACAAAAACATGTTTTCTTTAATCCAACTGTTTTTAATATTCTTTTTTTTGTTTCTGCATATTTTATTTTATTTTATTTTATTTTTTTTTCCTACTTGCTTTGATTCTGTTTTATCTTCCTGTATTTTAATCATGTAAAGCACTTTGCATTGTCTTTGTACTGAATTGTGCTATACAAATAAATTTGCCTTGCCTTGCCTTGCCTAATAAAGGAAAAGAAAAAATAATCATCGTTTATTCAATAAATCTAGTTTTGTTATGATTTCACAAAGTTACTAAGAAAGTTTGGATTTTCCATCTTGTTGTCAAAACATGTTAAGACTGTAACTTCCTCTTCTAAAAGGGAACATATATATTTTTTCCCAAACATTTTTTCTTAGGAGAAAACAAATGGCTGAATATATATCAGGACTTTGTTTTATTTTGAAGGATTTTATCACAAAAGTTCCTCTACCACTTGGAATAATTTAAAGAAAAACAGTACTAAATGAATTAAGCTAATGTTCTTTGTGTCCATATACTTTATTAAATGTTCTGTCAATCAAAAGTTATAATCAATATCAATTTGTTTGGTAAAATACTGTTTCTTTACATTTAACTTAGCTTCTTATTTTTCAGATGTAGCCATTTTAAGCTGCGTTAAAGTCCTTTTCAAAAGTATTGGAACCCTTTCCAGATTTTGTCAGGTTACTCCCCCACATTTCTATGTTTTCCTTTGGGATGTTTTTATTTCATATACCGAATATGAAGTCCCACACATCACAAAGTGAATTAAAAAGATTCTTGATTTTCAAATTTGTTTTAAAAACTATTTTAAAATGTTACACTTATGGTTCTTTCAGGGTATCACTGCAGACTCTGGCATTTGGATACTAACATTTTTGTTTCATGCCTTTTAAAAAATAAGCTCCAGAATGGTTAAACTTAAGGATTCATTGATGATATATGTTTTCAAGTCTTGCTACATTCTTTGGATTAGATTTGGTAAATAGAATATTTTTCTAATATTTATGGTAATGGATAAAATTTCATGAAAAAACAGGTTTATATTCCTAAAATAAGCTGAAACTCTCTTTCCCCACTTATTCTAACAAATAGCAGTGACATCTTCGGGATCAAAGAATGTTTTGTGACTTTTTGTAAACAGGTATTGTTACACCTGTGAGACACACACCCCTCCACGCTGCTCCCACTGCTACGACTGCAAGGTCTGCGTCCTGCGGCGGGATCACCACTGCGTCTTCTTCGGCCAGTGCGTCGGCTTCCGCAACTACCGCTACTTCCTCAGCTGCTTGCTCTTCATGTGGTCGGGGCTCCTCTACGCCATGGTGATGAATGCGGAGGTCTTCATAGTCATCCTGAAGGAGGGCGTGACTCTGCACAGCATCCTGCTGCTGCTCGTACCCTGGATCATGCTGGTTTCAGGTTACTTTAAAGTTTCAGTTAGATTTGCTTCCAATGAGATTAAACTTATTTTTCTGTACAAATAATTCAAATACAAATTATATTAATATGAGTTTTTTTCTTAGGCCAGGTCTCGGCGCGGGCCTTCGCCTTTGCCTTCATCGCTGACACGTGTGTGGTTGGTTTCCTGCTTGTCTCCGCCTTCTTCTTCTTCCACCTATTCCTGCTGTTTCGAGGTCAGACCACCAGGGAGTGGTACTCGTCTCGCCGCCCGTACAACCTGGGTCTCCTCTGCAACCTGAGGCACATGTTAGGCCTTCGCTGGTACATCTGCTGGCTCTCCCCGCTCATCGCATCACCGCTCCCTGGAGACGGGATTACCTTCCAGGTCACAGGATCCCTGGAACCCTCCCAGTAGCATGCAGAGGTCTGAAAAGACCAGGAGTCTTTGGTTTATTGTTGATGGTTAACGCTGACAAAAGCAGCAGCAAGAGCGTTTGCTTATTTTAAGAGGAGCTAGCTTTGGATGGGGGGATGCTTCTGGGGTTTGTGGTTTGAAGTTCATTGTCCGCCTTTTAGCTGAGAAGGAGAATCGGGTTGACAAGAAGATAATCTGTGCACTGGTTGAGGCTCGCCTCATAAAAAATGACAGTTCTTTTACGCCACTGAGCAAATGTTCTGATTAGCATTGCAGCGAGGACGATCGGTAATGTCTTAACAGTAAATGTAGAATATGAACTCTTTGTTTGCAGCCTTTTAGAAAAATGGGGTGTTGTAGTTATAATAAGAGGGGATTTTTTCCTATAAAAAAAAGCACCCTGAAGCACTCTGGAAAAAAATAATCTTGCTCAGATTATTATTTTTGCACTTTTCAGGATTAAAACTGAGCTTATTTGCCCCGTTCTGTCCAGATAAACTGAAATGTTTTTTACTAGGGGTTGCACATAGAAACCGGATGGTGATCTGAATCATTTTGGAATGATCAGTCCTGACAAACTCTCATTTTTTTCTGATCTGTTAACACCAGGCTGTACTAACTACACCAATCTTCAGTGTAGAGGCTATCACTAAGTGCTGAAGGACCAGAGGCTTATTCAGTATCATTAAGGTATTTAAAGCAGAGGGAAACATTGACCTATAAGAAGATGTTTAGAAGGAACTAAGTTGCCTTGGTATGCTAAAAGCTGTGGTTTAATTGGGCTATGAGAGAGAGCTTCACCCTAAAGCATGAAGGCTTCTGATTGTCACAGGATATGTTGGATGTAGAGCCTTCAGCTGCCTTTTGAAATCCTAGTTAACAATTATGTTCTCTGTGAAATATGCACAGAGAAGGATGTGTACAAATATTAATGTTAATTGTGCGAATCGCTTATATATGATCTGTAATCCTTTTGTCCTTTGTTAGAACTAATGCTGTTTTTTTTTGACTGCCTGTCACATGTAAACATGTAGACAAGATATCAGGAAATATTTAATAAATTGTTCATATGAGAAACCTACTGTGCTAGAAGCAGCAAGGAAAGAACGATGGTTAAAAACGGCTTTACAAGAGTTTCTCTGCATCCCGTGGTTAGATGTCATCTCTGCTATGATGCTTGGTATGAAAAATGTATAGGCGGTCGCTATATGAATGCTATAAAAATATTTGTAGTTAAAGTTCTAACAGAGAAGTCTGAATTGGCCAAACTGTCCGATCAGAAATCAACCTTGAGCTCCGGTGCCTCTGGTTTTCCCATTTATTTATAAACCTGTTGTGAGCCTCATGTTTCAGTTTACAGTTCCATGTGATGTTAAGTTGCCTGACGAATGCAGTATTTAAAATGATTTTATCAAAGATATATAAACAAATGAGTATTTTTCATATTTTGTAACACTATTGTGTCGCCATTCTGTCACCTACTGCAACAGCAAACTCACCTTCATCCCATCGTTCCTTTGCAGGATGACAGTTCTTATCTCAATATTCATCTCGATCAGTGTCTTTTTTTGTTTCATTTTCTCCAGGTGTTCTTGAGGCTGATAAACACCATTTTCAAAGTGTTCGGTGTCAGCGTCTCATCTTTTTGCCTTTAAGGCGCTAACATGTCTTACTGCACTCAATGCCAGCTTTAATTTTATTATCTCTATACTTAGTTTATCAACTTCTCCTTGCCTTAAAGTGGATCAATAAATTAAAAGCCTTTGTTTTGATCGGTTCTTTTAATGGTTGTTGGATTTTCAATCTGTTAGGTTTTTGTAATTTTCTGCTATTTTCTCTGTCGGGTTTTGCTGTTTGAATGTGCATTATTGAACTATTTGAATTGAAGTATTTTGCCTTTTTAATTGTTTTGTATTGCAACTCCTGTTTTGTAATATTTACTTCAAAAATGTTGGTCGGAACAGTTTTTGTTTTCTTTTTCAGAATCCAATGTTTGATTAAAACTACAGAAATCAGCGATCCGCCTGTTTTATCTACGGACTATTTGTAACTTTTAACAAAAGAGTAACAGTTATTTAAACTTTGGTCATTTGAGAAGCAACTTGGTCATTTTAGGTTAGTTCCTACTTAAAAAAAAATAAATTATTTTTTATATTACTAGTTTGCGTTAAATTTATCCTTAATTTTCACAAAGAATCCTCAAGGCAAAGATTTTTCTCTAAAGGTCAGTTTCTGATCCAAATGTTAGTGCAGGAATATTCCCCTGTGATTGTAAAACTGCCATGATAACTCCTTTTTTAAGGCAAGTTCCAGCCTAGATATATCCAACTAGAAACCAATCAGCATAATTTCATCTGCTTAATAGAAAAGAATGCATTTCCCAACATAGATTATATTCTATTACATAAACGGTGGGTCCTTCACAGTCTCTAGAAAAATATAATTCCACTGATACCGCCAGTAATGCGGTATTGGAGAACTTCAGATGCTAGCTTTGTATTAAACTCTGCAATCTTAAAGTTTATTGATAGTACTTCACTTATATCTTCAGTTAAATCCCCCCTAAAAGTTCTTCTTTTTTTTCCTCCATGATAGATAAAACAGTCATTTTGCATAGCAGTATATGCACCATTATTGTTACGTATACTGCTGCACTATGGGATAAAGAGTTGCATAAATATTCTGTCCGTTTTTATGGTTAATCTGACTGACAAAAATAGAGGGACGAGGTCTTCCAGACTAGTAGCCCTCCGCCTCAGCTCCTTTATCAGAAATCGGGCCAATTTTCTTTTAACAGCTCAATCTTTATGTCAGTAAACAAGCAGCATGAACGTCTACAGCTAGAAGACACCAAAACTTCTGTTACCAAATCTCAACAAAGGTAAATTGAGTCATCAGGGTTAGAAAGAAGCAGAGTTCCCTGAGTTTTTTCAATGAACTTAATGAACAAAGCTATGTATAACACTTTTAACACATCGATGAAAAACAAGACATACAGGAAATTAATTTTCCAGGTGAAAATCCAGTCACATATTTTTTTATTATAATAAAACCCATACAGTTGCAAGATGTAAAAGCCTAACATAAACAAGTGAAATAAAGTTGACAGGAGTATGTAAAAAATTGCAACTGTCACCATTCCCCATATATGAGTGGACAGCTTTGCAAACTGCACCATAAAGCCACAGACATGCACATGATCTCTGTGTTGCCATAGCAACAACTAATTTCATTTTTTCAGTGGAGGCAAGAGGGCGTTCCATCCTCATTTATACCCTCCACCTTCAAAGAACCCTTAAAAGCTGCAAGTGTGACTTTACTGGGAGTGACACTCCATTGTGAAGGGGTAAAGCCAAGGGGGCGGTCTGCAGGGGCGGAGCTAGATGGGGGGCCAGGGGTGGCAATGGCCACCCTTAGCCAATCATTGGCCACCCCTACCATTTTTTCCCTCTAATACAGATGGTGGCAGCAGTAATACTCTCAAGTGGAATATTAATTTTAATTTTTCACATATTATTTACAATTTTTTCATGTATTCATAATTTCTTGACAACAAAAACACTGTGGTTAATTATACACATCAATATAATAACATTAAAGAAGATAAGTACAGAATTCAAGCTCTTGTATATCAATTTTGTTTATATCAATTTTATGCTATAAAATTTTAAATATATCTATTTGTTAGCAAAGGCTGTAGGAAAGTAAAGTTAGTCTTATCTTTGGCTTGACCGTGAGGTTCTGCTGCCTATCGGCTTTCGGCCACCCCTCAGTGTACATTGGTTAATGCCTGGCTCCCCTTATAAAAATTTTCTGGCTACGCCTCTGGCGGTCTGGGATTAGACCAAAAAAAGAATGCCTGTACTCCTGCACATTCTCAAACAATGAACAATTCATTTTAATAAGATAACCTCTTATACCACACAATATAGCATGTAAAAAGTATTTGTAGAGCGATGGAAAATAAAGAACAGTCTGCCTTAAATACCATTCAAAAATCATCAACTGTCATTACTTTTTTCATTATATTTTATTATAATTAAGTATATACAAGTAATTAATAATAATAAAAAAAAATTACTATTTCAGGAGTGAAAAAACACACTACCTTATAGATAACTTTAAATGTCAATGTATAAATAATAATAATATTGTAGTAATATGTAATAATGTAATAATTAACTTTTCACCGCCACCGCCATTAGAGGAGCTCCAACAGCCGCTGCTTGGGGGGGTTTTTTTTGGTAAGTTCTTTATTTTATTTTTGTTAGTTTGTTTGTTTGATGACTTAAAATTTAATTAGTGAAATTAGTGAAGTCACTTACAAATACGAATTTACAATCAACTACAAAGTCTGCTATGGCTGTTAACTGAAGCTAACTGAACTATTTTAGTTTCAACTGATGGTAACTTTTAATGACTGACTTGTTCTGAATAAAAGGATAAAAAAATAACCTGGTTTCCTTCTTTCAATTGTACCACAAAGAAAAATGATTTAATGATACTAGGCAGAAGTTTATATTTTAGTAGATGCTTTGACTATTTCAACAAAGCTAGTTAGCTTAGCCGCTTCTATTAGCATAGAACATTAGCTGATATTTTATCTGGTGGCTAAAGTCTATGCTAATAACAGTTTTAAAATAAAGTGGGATGTAGAGATTATTTCGTAAGGGTTACCCAATGTCAGTTGATGATTTTTGAACGGTAATAAAGGCACTCCTTATTTTATTTTAATCGCTCAAAGACAAATGCTTTTTACATGGTATATTGTGTAATATAAGGTTATTAATTTTTTTTTTTTTTTTTTTTGCCTAATCACAAGCTAAGCTAAGCTCTACCGCTTCGCTATGAAGTGTCACTTCCAGTAAAGTCACACTTGCAGCTGTTAAGGGTTCTTTGATTTAAGGTTGAGGGTATAAATGAGAAAAGGACACCCTCTTTCCTCCACTAAAAAAAACAATGGTGTCTAAAGTACACACATTTGTTACTTAAGTAGAAGTATAAATACTGCAGTATAAAAACACTCTGGTAAAAGTCGAAGTATCAACTTTACCTCTTTATTCAAGTAAAAGTGAATAAGTATGTGCTCCAAAAACTACTTAAAGTATAAAAGTATAAAGTAACCTTAAAAAAAAAAAAAAACAGCCAGATTCCACCATGTGGACTAAGAGCTAAATTTTTAGGCTATTTTTGAAAAATAGGGCCAAGGATGAGGGATGTCTTGTTGGTCTCCGTCTCCCGATTCGCTCTCACCTGTGTCAAACCTTTCCAGACATTTCAACATCTTTTCCGAATCTGACATTGTAGCATGGTGTAGACAATTCACGTTAGCAGTTTTAAGAACACCTGCTTGCTTCTGATGATTTCCTTTAGCTAACCAATGAGTGTTTGCCTCATATGAGTCATCCAATCACACTAGTTTTCACTAGATGTGGATGGCGCCAGGGTCCAGGGATCTGCATTGGATGGCGCACATGACGTGAAATAAATATTTATAAACATGACACCGAAGCCAAGAGTAACAAGTAACGTTTGTTTTAAAAATGTAAGGAATAGAAAGTACAGATACTTATGTGACAATGTAATGAGTGGAAGTCAGAAGTGAAAAAAAAGTAATAGAGTAAAGTATAGATACCTAAAAAGTTTAGTTTAGTACAGTAACAAAGTATCTGTACTTCGTTACTTGACACCTCTGGAAAAAAGAAATTAGTTGTTGCTATGGAAACACAAACATCATCTGCATGTCTCTAGCTTTATGGCTCATTTTGTAAAGCTGTACACTCAAACATGGGGAATGGGGACAGTTGCAACATTTGACAAACTCTTGTTAACCTTATGTCACCTGCTTTATATTAAGCTTTTACATCTTGCAACTTTATGGGTGTGTAGGGGACAGGTATAACAGGTTTCATTTCTACGGATATTGTCAATCTAACAAAAATAATCAATGAGAAACTGATAGTAGAGTAAAACCTGTTGCAAATGTCCCAACTTTCACCACTTTGAAAAAGGCGTGAGTGATTCCATAAATCAAGTTTCAGCCTCATCATATCTTATTATATCTTGTTTTTGGAGTTCATATTCTTTCAGATTGACGAGTCAGACTAGAGCCATCTCTCAGCGCTGAGTCCGATGTGTGGTTTTTGGATGTGCAGTGGTATATTGCATCAGCACGTCGGGACGTAAAGTCTACAAACTTGCATTGTGATCTGGGAATTGTAAAACCCTACATCCTGCACTTTGAGCTGTAGCTGAGTACAACCATTGAAAATATCGTACAGTGTAATCTTTAACTAGTGAATATAGACTCTAAAACATGCCTCTAGCTGACAGAGTAACTCACTCAGAGCAGTAACTATACCAAAATTGTAAATCTATAAATATTTTGCATTTAAGATTATTAACAACTTTTTCAGTCTCTCAATATGCTCTATCAAGGACTCCACAGGTGGAAAAGTTTTAGTTTCAACTGGTTCAATTCTGCAAAAAAAAATTATTCATGGAACCTTTTGCTTATACAATTATTAATTGGTTAATTGAAAAAATAAGCAACAGATTAATTGATTAATAAAATAATTGTTAGTTGCAGCTGTACCCTCAACCTGTCTTTGTTATAAAGATGTGTTTTTGCAGCAGAGGGGAGAATTGAGCCAGCCAGATGGATTCATCTGGGGAAAACATGTGAGTAATCCTTATCATACAAAACCCTCTACACACACTCACACGTGTTTAGCTGCTGATCAACATCTCATGTTGATTGGAAGATCCCAAAAGGATATGCTGGAGAAAATAGCTGAGCTGGATCACAGCCAGAGTCACCTGAGAGAACTGAATGCTGAGATGAGGCAGTGGCTGGATGCTGCAGACGATGACAACGCAGTGCTCCGCTTGGAGAACGCCAACCTCAGGAAACAATTGAATGAGTGGGTACATCCAGCCGCATGAAGTGGGATCCTGCTATCTTCTTTGAATTTCCAATAATATCTATAGTCACTGTGGTGAAAGAATCATGTTTTTCTCTGTTGTTGTTTGTTTGCAGCATAGAGAGGATCCTTACTGAGCTGCAACAGGTTGAATCTGAGCCTTGTGGGCCTCTGTTGGGTGATGGCCTCTGTGAAAAACAAATCAGTGAGAAAAGGATTCAGGATTTGGTGAGCAGGCAACAGAAATATTTCCCTGTTTTCCTTTGCCTTATTCTGGATATAGATTACTTTTCTCAGCGATCTGTAGTAATATGTTCAGTTGTTGTTTCAGGAGAGGGAAACCTTAAAGTGGCAGGAAGAAAATAAGGAGCTAACTGTTGAGGTAAACTTGCCATATTGACCATTAGGTCAACCTAGTTCTACAACTATTTAATCATTTAAAGTTCTGCAATAATACGTTCTAAATTTCAAGATGTGCTCACCCTTTCAGCTAAAGAATGTTAAACAACAGAGAGACCAGGACAGGATCAGTTTGAGAAAACTCAGGAATGAGTTTGAAAACCTGGAGGTAAACTTCTGCTTTTAGAGAATTAGTAGTATCTAAATCTCTCTCTTCATTAAAAAAAATTTTCTCAATCAAATATTAATCAAGTATTTTTTTCTTTACTATTGTCGAATGTGTAAGTTATAGATGTTGGAATATCCTAATTTTAACTTTCTTAGACTTTTCACAGGCACTGATTTCATCATAGCTAATTTGGATTTCACATGGAAGATCAACACAAAATAACAAATAATTGGGAAGTTTAACATAAAAGATATATGATTTGTTTAAAAAGGGAGATATGAAAAATCTGGTTTTCCATATAGCTCACATTTGCCTATTGCATTTAAGGAAAAAAAAACGTGTATAATCCCCTTTTAAATGTGGTGGAGGGTGTGATGGAGTCCTGGGGCCATTTTTGATTAATAACGAAAATAATGTGGCCAGGAAGGAGTAAATATCCACCCAAAGATTTCTAAACTACTGTAGCTTCAGATTTTTATGAATATATCTTAAGCTAAATAAATTTCACTAATAAAAAAAATGTACAATAATAAAACATGGATATTATCTTAACTGACAAAGACATTAAGTACCAAGGTTTTAGCATTAAAGTAGTTAGTGTTATAGACTAGAGATAATTCATACTAGAATGAACGTATCTGCATTTGAGAATTTGTTGTAAAATCTAAAAATCAATGTTTACAGACACTTCCATCCAATCTAACTGAGTTATTTTTTTAACGTTTAGTCTGCAGATGTAGATAAACCCCAAAACCTGTAGCTCTATTTCAAATGAGAAGCAATGAATATAATTATTGGTTTAGGCCAGTTAAATGCATGCAAATATGAAAACATTTCAGATAACTTCTTTGACTTTATCATGATGCACAATTTTGTTCTGGACTGTCATATAAAATCTTTTTTATTTCTATGAATGTTGGACTATAACTCATGAATTTCTCTGTACTAGAAAAACTTAGGAATTGATGTTAACTCTTCATATCATATGGTTTTTTTTAGATTGGAGTGGAGGAACTTCAGTTAGAGCTACAGCATAGGGATGAGCTGATTAATCAGGTAGGAACAGAGGATCCAACCAGTGAATAATAGGAATATTAATACCAATATATTTGCAGTTCCCTCTGATCCATCATATTAATATTTATTGCTAACTGTGTTTTACCTTAATAGAAACACCAGCACTTAAAGCACCTTGAGGAAACTGTGGAGGAATATTCCAACATCATTAAGGCAATAGTGTTGACACTTTATATTCTTCTTAACAGTTATAACAGTTTGCTTTATATGGCGTATCCATCAACTGTAAAAAAAAAAATATTCCCCAGTTCATTGCACTTCCTTGTTCTTACAATATGAAGATACAGTAATATACTATGATAAGATTCTTACATCACCTACAGTTACAGAATTTTCAAAGGGAAACTGAGCTAAATTCATTCTTCACAGTCCTTATTTCTCTGGTGCTGAAGTTGTTTGTGTTTCTGTGCTGCAGGAGCTCAGGCTGGCAAAGCAGGAGCTGAGCAACCAGTTGGAGGACAGACAAGTTGATGCTACATTGTAACCCTGAAATGCAAATCTTTAATATTTTTATCGTTATTGTAGAGCAAGGACTCCTTTTGCAGTGTCCTGCTGTTTTATTTTCAGTACCACTGTGGCTGAGGTGATGACCGAGGAGGAGGGACAGCCCAGTCCTCAGCTGTCAATCGCAGAGGAAATCAAGCTGCTCTTCTCATCTGCTGAGATGAAACCCTGCATCAACGACTCTGAGGACCCTGCTTCTGTGATCTCTGCACTTGAGCAAAATGTAGAAGACTCCATGCTGTGAATTTCAAAAATTCCTCTTTTATGGATAATAATGCAACCAGAACTGATTCGAAATAACTTATTCCTGACCTTTTTAAGACTGAAAATGCAATTAATCTTGAAAAAGTTTGGAAAACTATCTTAATGCATCCTTAGATGTCTGTGTGATTTAATTATTCTGTATTTCCAGCACCAACCAGGAGGTTAGTGTTGGAATTACACGTTAAAGTAGTGTTGTTTCTGCATGTGAACGGAGTTCAGAGAGTGAGTGTTTTATTGTGTCTGCAGGGAGAGGGCGATGATGAGGGGCCGCTGGAACACCAAGGTCTTACAGATGATGTCAAACCTAAAAGGTCTACCAGTCTACATTGATAATCAGCTATTTATGTAAAGTATTATAGCTTCTCCAGGTGTGCAGCAGTTTTTTGTATCTCACATGTCGTTTGCCTCTCTGTCTTTATGTCCCCAGCCGTAGCAGATTTGCTGATGCGTGGAGGACCGCTGTCCAGAAGCTGTTAAAGTTTTATATCATCAGTCTTTGTGTTTTGGCCTTTGTAGTTTTAGGATTCTGGGTTGGAAATTCTGACTTTTGTTTAAACAGCAGTTTGATGAAGTTGCCACCTTACGTCACCGTCCGCTATAAGGCCTTACCTCCCATTTGATCTCACTGTGTTATTAGAAATTGCACCATGTGTGCTATGTAAATGTGTAGTCTGTGGCACCGAGGTAAAGTCCAAAAACGGCTGCTTCAATTTCAGCGTCCTGTTAGGATGGTAAGACTAGCTAAGACACAGTGATTCTCTGTCTTATCTTTTTACTCCTAAAACCATCTTTTAGATATATTTGTAGTTCAAGGGGAAAACAATGTGTTCTAAAAAGTATTCATACCCTTTTAATCTGTTCATATTTTGTTAGGATGCACTAAAACAACATTTTATTTCTGTGAAACTTTATGCTATAGACCAACATGTGGTACATATTTGTGACACTGAAAGGGGAAACCTTCACTGTTTTCAGTTCTTTGACATACAAATCAGAAATATGTGCAGTTTATGTATGTGTTCTGTCCTTGTGAGTTAGTAAAACCAGCACCTTTTTCTTCAGATACGCCACTTTTTGCCGTACATCTGTACTAGCTTTAGATATATAACTACTAAAATCTTTCCATTTCAGAATAGATTAAAGTCAAGTCGAATAAAGAGGTTCTAATCAGTTAGCTTATAGTTATTAAACTATATAGTGTCATTTGGTTTTAGTCCAGTCTTTGACTAGGCCATTCTAATACATGCATATGCTTGGATCTGAACCGATAGCTTTAGCTGTATGTTCAGGGTTATGCTCATAAAGTGAACACGCTCTTTAGACGTTTGCAGGTTTTGTTATAATTTACCACTCACTAATGAAGGAACACATTCCCTCAGCATAATGTGCCTTCATAGTGTAAATCTTATGTTCAGATGACATGCAGCCAGTTTTTTTTTTATCAGTATACATTCTGTTCTTGCATTTGAATTTTGGTTATAGAATATTATTTTAAATTCCCTGAATATTGAGGTACAAAGAGACATCAGAACAGATAACCTGAGTGTCGCTGTCTGGGTTTGCAGAACCACAGGCGGATCTCCATGCAACTCAGCATTGATGCAGTTAGTCACCCTAAAGGATCCCTTACTAAGGATTGCATTGATGTGTTGTTCTGTACATGGGAATATGACAGTTATGTATTAAAATGTTTATTTGTTTACTGAACACAATAAAATACTTTAAATATTTAATTCTGCAATATAAATATTTGTCTTTGCTTTTTAATATTCTGATTTACTTAGAATGGGTAGAAGATCTTTTAGTTATCAGGCTCTTCTCCTGTGGAACCAACACCCAGTTTTAGTCCATGAGGCAGACACCCTGTCTAATTTTAAGTCTAGGCTTAAAACTTTCCTTTTTGATTAGATTAGATTAGATCAGATTCAACTTTATTATCATTACACAGGTACAGGTACAAGGCAACAAAATGCAGTTTAGGTCTAACCAGAAGTGCAATAGCAGCAAGTGCAGGGTAAACAGTGCTTCCATAAATATAGGACATGGTTTTCTACTATTGATTTCTACTGAAAAAGCTTATAGTTAGAGTGGCTCAGGTTATCCTGAGCTATCTCTATAGTTATGCTGCTATAGGCTTAGACTGCTGCAGGACATAGGGACCCATATTCCATCATTCTATCTCTATTCTTCCACTCTGCTGAATCTGTTAGTTCTATCTCTTACGTTATGCTATGTTATCTGCCTTTTGTCATAGTAGCTTCGCCTCATATGTTCCTGTTTGCCTGTGACACCACCCTGGATAGAAACATCAGCTGTGCTGCTGCCATCAACACCTTTGTTTATACCGATGTTTATATAGATGTTTGAGATCAGCCTGTTTTCCAGTATAGTCCTGTCTCTCTGACTGTGATTGGCTGGATGTGCTCTCTTCATCCTTTGACATGGGAGCTGGCTCGGAGCTTGTCTGCCTGGCTGTGTGTTTGCTGGACCGGGCCGCCTTTTACAGCTGCTTTTTGTATCTCTGCTTCTGTCTCCTTGAACCCCAGTTGGTCTCAGCAGATGGCCGCTCACACTGAGCCTGGTTCTGCTGGAGGTTTCTTCCTGTTAAAAGGGAGTTTTTCCTCTCCACTGTCGCTACAAGCATGCTTAGTGTGAGGGATTGCGTCCCAGTCAATGAGTCGATGCAATCAACTGGTTTTCGTTAGATAGAAAACTTTGAATCAAATTGACTGTATCATCTGGTGAACTGCAGAAGTGTAGCCAGAAAATGGGTGGCCAGGCAATAGCCAGCGTACAGTAAGGGTTGGCCAAAAGTAGATAGGCACCAAAACCTATCTATAGCGAAATTAACAAGCAAAACATCCATATTTTCTAAATAAAGCCAAACTGTACTTTCCCACAGCCTTTGCTAACAAATAGACTTATATATTCAAACATCTGTGCTTTCTAGATAAAAGATATAGTGGATAAAATTCTTTCAGGATTGAGTTTTGGGTGGACATATTTTCCATTGTCATTACTTACCTATTTTTATCAGTAATCATTCTGCATAAAACTGACATTAACAAGTACTAATATCTACATAAAGGTATTATAAGATAATTATTTAATATGATGATTATTTTATGTTTTATTAAAATAGTTATTTATCTATGATTTCAGTGAAGACTCCTAGATGAATTGCAGAGACGCATCATTTTCTCTGCACCCCATAAAACACAAAATCTATTTCTGAAAAGAGCATGAATTCTGTATTTATCATCTTTAATGTTACCATATTGACGTGAATAATATACCACAATGTTTTTGTCATCAAGTAATTGTTAATATATGAAAAATTAAAATATTTTTGAATTATCCACTAGGGAGTATTACTGCTGCCACCATCTGTATTAGATGGAAATAAATGGTAGGGGTGGCCAATGATTGGGTAAGGGTGGCCATGGCCACCCCTGGCCCCCCATCTAGCTCCGCCCTGTAAAGTGCATTGAGATGACATTGTGAATTGGGGCTATATAAATAAACTTAATTGGATTTAATTTACTTAGAGGGATATTTTATGGTTACTACTGAATGAATAGATGCTGTGGAGCAAACCAAGTAATGACCCTTCTAAGTAAACTTGGAAAATAATTTTAGAATGAATTAGTGGATATTTTAGTGAATTTAGAGACCCACCCAGCTGATGGAGCTTTGCGCCCCGCCCAGGAGGAGAAAATCCCCAACTGGATGTCATTTGGAGCAGAATGGATGCTGAGACGGTCTGATTCAGGGGAAGTTTATAAATAGATGGTGATTCATCAGCTGCTCTCCCTCACTGGATGCTGAGGAAGGGCCGCTGCTTCCTGGCGTCCCCCCGCTGATTCTGATGGAGATCCCAGACCACTGAGCGACAGGACAGGTAGATCCGCTCCAGAGGAGGATGTTTATGATTTAAGTGCCCGAAGAGCGGCTGCGGTTGGCGGGATGAAGGCTCCGAGGAGACCGAGGCAGACGCTGCTCCTTCCCCGGCTCTGCATCAGCGGGCTGGCTCTGCTCGCAGCTCTCTGCGCCTCTCACTTTACCGGAGGTGCTCTTACACTGCGATTATCCTCAACCATTTTTAACATTCTGATTTAGATGCTTGGTTTCATCTGTAAGGAACATAACTGATGTTTTGTGATATATTTTATTTCCAGGCTCTCATAACCAACCTGGGCAGAATGGCAGGCATCTGTCTAAAAGAGAGCAAATAGTGGACAACCAGAACATCAGCATTTCAAGATCTGGTGAGACTTTATAGCTACTTTCTTCTATTATCAAAACTGGCACACAGGAGCATTTTACAATAGGGCTATCATTTGCAATCATAATAAAGCAGAGGCGCTGCTATTATCTGAAGATGAAGGTGTCCCTCCTGGGTCTATTATTCTGTTTCATTCATGCCTGCCTGCTCCCATCATTGATGTTCATTCTTCATTTCCTCCAACTTTGCACATCTAGATGTTTAAACACAGAGGCCTTTGAGGGACCCAGTTGCTAGGCAACTGGATGCTGAATCTGTGTCCGGATGTCTCGTGCGTCTCTGTTGTAGTTCAAAGTGCTTATCCCGTCTAAATGATCTGCTGATTATTGGAGGCTCTCATCAGCATGCCTCTCTCTCATATCTAATTAGAGCTGGTGGGTTGGTGGGTTACATTTAGTAAATGCTGAAAATCTATTTAGTTTAAGAGTCATTTTTACTTGTAGTTTTATGATGCTTTAAGAGTTGAACAGAATCCATTTTTTCATGGCTGGGCATTTAAAGAAAGTGAGATGAGAAGCATATTTCCCATGGGCAGCCCTTTGCTGGCAGGGGTGTCCCAGGAACACTGCTGATCAGTAGATCAGGGGAGGATCATGTATGGAAAATCATTTGGTAAAAGTCCCAGTTGGTGTGTTTTTACCAGAAGGGTTGATGTCATACCTAAGGAATCTGACAAAAATGGCATGAATTCAATTCAGTTTATTTATATAGAACCAAATCACAGCACATGTCATCTCAAGGCACTTTACAATTCAACCAGATCATACAGTCAAACTAATTAAAAGTTTCTAAGGAAAACTAGTTGATTGCATCGACTTATTGACTCGAATGCAATTCCTCACACTAAGCATGCCTGTGAGCTGTTTTATAATTGTATTTTAAATTATTTTTACTTTGTTGTGTTAACAAGCCAAAAGCACATTTCTGCCATCATTGTGTATGGTAGGCAATGAATGTTTTTCTATTCTATTCTATTGTAGCGACAGTGGAGAGGAAAAACTCCTTTTAACAGGAAAAACTCTCCTGGAGAACCAGGCTCAGTGTAAGCGGCCTTCTGCAGAAGCCGACTATTATGCAACCCTATTCATGAAGCTGTTGCACGGGTCAAACTGCTGCCTCCTACCCCTGCACCACAGTCAGTCCGATTCGAAAAGATGGTCGCTTACTCAGTACCTTGTTCTCACATGAGAGTCCAGTGAGCGCCACTGGGGCAAAGTAAACAACTCAATGGAGTCAGATGTTCACTAATGCCACTCATTCAGATGGAGGGATGGCGGCAAAGTCAGTGACCTGATACAATTGGCAGGATTCCTTTAATGAGAAAATGTTTGGACCAGTTTACATGGTAACTGAACTGAACTTTAATAACTGGGATCAAGTTGGAATGTATTTAAATGACTTTGCACCTGTCTATTATTGGACTGGACTCACTTTATGTTCCTGTTTAGGAACTGGATTTGTTGTTGTATAAATTCTGGTAATTACCACTGCTATAATATGAACTACACTAAAGCAATGGTTGCCCAGTCAGGAGATGTGTGGTCTGTGGACAGAACTGTCTATGTTTCTGGTGCTTTGGAAAACTATTTTAAAACAAAAGATTCAAGTGCACAGTTTCACAGACTTGGAGTCAACGGTTTAGACTTGCTCCGTTTGAGAAAGGTTTGCTTCACAAGAACCATGGGATGTTCCAAGGTGGAAATCTTGTGCTCAACAATAAGGGTTAAAGATTTTAGTTTCAAATGAGAAATCAATATGGGTGGTTCAACAGAAAGTGATCAAATTTATCAAACTTCGGGACTCAAAGTTTGATCTGGCCCTAAATATCATTTCTGGGTCCTCTCTCTGTCTGTTTTGTCCAAACATGATCATTTTTATTTTTGCATGATTTTATTGATTGTTGTTTTGTTTTTTTGCTTTCTTGCATTGAATAGACACATTAGGGAAGTGTAATGTTAGATTCACAAACAATGCCCTCAGGTTGCACAGATGTGCTTTTGGGATTTGTTCCCCTATGTTACCTGCATGTCACATACTGTAGATGTAAAGAGCCCTTTGCTATTTTTATGTTGGGCTTTTTTTTTTAAACTTGATCAATGATGAAATTCTTGCAACCAACCAGAATGCTTCCTTGATAGCTTGAAGTTTTTACATCTTATTTACTTTTAGGTTTTCCAGTTATCTTCCTCCTGGGTTAAATGAAATCCCGTCATGATGGGATGTTGAGCCAAAACAGAGTCCAAAAGGAATCATGTGAATATCTGTCTAAATTGCAAATTATGCAGCGTTACATCAAATGCACAATGTTGTCTCTTTGCAGGATTAAATTCACTTTAGTCATGGTTACTTCGCTTAGAAGCTAGTAACCCTTATCTTTGGTCGAGATTTGATCAATGATGACTCACTTCTAAATCATGAAAAAATGGTACGAAGTGTTTCATATGAATATTTTAGCAGTTATAAAAAAAGACATTTGTCGGCAGATTCATTTCTCACATTATTTTGTATGTTTTCTCCGTGTGGGTCTTTTCTGGGTACTCCAGCTCTCTCCCAGAAACCAAAAGTATGCATATCAGGTTAGTTTATCTCTCCAAAATGCCTGCAGATAATACGTGTGTGCATACATGGTTGTTTGTGCTTTTTGTCTCTGTGACAAATTCACAGCCACCCACCCTTTCCGCAGTTAGACCTCACAACTTGGTGCAACATGTATTTCAGGCTTTGAAATGAATTAGCTTCGCACCAAACTCAGCCCAAAATAAACGTAGAACAGGGGAAAAAACAGAAAGCAAAAATACTGTTAGATTACTTTTTTTTCAGTTATTGAATTCTAAGATTATCTTCAGGTGAAGTTACTCTCTACTAGATGCTGGTGGCTATCTGCAGCAGCTAATAAATACAGTCTGAAGTTGCCACTCCATGACAGTCAGTAATAATCGCTTGTTAAAAATGTCCATCTTTTCTCAGCTGTACACGAGTTCCCAGTGGACATCTTTACTTTGAGTCAGAAAAGACAGGGAGCAGTGCTTCTGCATGTTTTCTGTGTGAGTATCAGCTCATTGCCTGATATTTTTATCATACCCGTAAACAGATCTATGGTTTTTTAATACTCAGTGTCTTACTTTTTCAACAGGCTATCTACATGTTTCATGCTCTGGCCATTGTATGTGATGTTTACTTTGTGCCATCACTGGAAAAAGTCTCAGAGGTATGAAGCAAAAAAACTCATTTATGTGGCTGGAAATCCAGACAGCTATTGTGTATTTTCAGTTTATTTAAAATGTTATGAAAGAACCCATGGTTTCCTCATGTGACAGTGTGGTCCTGTCACTATGCCTCTGGCTGATCATGTGTCCTGGCTGCCTGGCCAATGGGATATCCCTTTGGCTGACTGGTCAGCGCTCATGACTTTTACCCGGGAGTCTGTGGCATCAAATCACACCCAGGCCCTCTGCTGTGTCCCTTGCCACACTCAGGAATTAGTATTTCTATGAGCAACCTGTAAACCAAAAAGTACACTGACATTGGTGTTACTTTCCATATTAGAGTAATAATTATAATTTTTAATGGATAAAAATTATGTTTCACAAGGTTGTTCATTTGTGGACAGGTACATATCGCTTGATTATTATTTATTTTTATTCATTTATTTCAGAAAGTAAGAGGCAATAGGTAGCATTACATGCGTATTAAAATGTTTTAAGGACAGTATTTATTTCTGTTAATGTTTTGTTAATAATCGAAAAATTGATGCCTGTCAATTTGAGTGCATGTTAGTTGTGGACCCAAATGGAGAGCTAAAGAGGCAGAGAGGATTTAATGAAGAAGTAAAATACAGAATACACCGTTCACAACCGATCAACAAGAAACTGAGGAACAAAAAAGTTAGGAGACACTAGGGAGGAAAAAAACCTAAGGAAAGATCCGGCAATGAGTAACCGAACAGGAGGTGTATATATGGGAGACAGAAACAATGGGAGGACTGATTTGTTGATAGGGAGCAGGTGTAGACAGAGGCAACTAGAAGGAGCAAAAGGAGAAGGAAAGGACACTAGGAGGCAGCAAAGAATAACCAGGGAAAACAACGGGATCTTAAGGTAACTAGAAAGAACTTAAATGAGATTAGAGGTGGGAATAAACTAAACTGACTAAAACATAAGGAATGACCAGAGGGGGGGAAACTACAAGATAAGAGGAGGGACTGAAAACTACCTAGGCTATGGAAAACATGACCTAAGGATAAATAACTAACTGAAACTATATCGGGGAAAGAGCAACACCAATTACATTGGAAAAATAGTTAACCCACCAAAAAATTTAAAATTAAATAGAAACAAAGGGTCCAGAATGTTGGATTATAACAATGTCTTATTATGTCTTCCTTACACAGGCGCTATTAGCCTAATGATTTTCTTAAGGATGTTTCTTAAGGATGTTTAGCCCCAAAGATTTTTGCTTCTCTTTCCAACAGAACCTTCAGCTCAGTCAAGATGTTGCCGGGGCAACCTTCATGGCAGCTGGGAGCTCCGCCCCTGAACTCTTCACCTCTTTGATTGGTCAGTGAGACAGTGTGCATTGGTTAGACCCATAGACTCATAGAAAGAGCAAACACTTCATTGACTGCTATTGGCGCTGTTGAGTCATAAAGTCGCCAGCTCAGAAAGGTCACCTGCTCCACTCATTGTTATTCTTTATGATAAGCTAAAGTATCAGCAGATTTATTCAATCATAACTATGAATACTAAACTTTGTAGGGTCCTTGTGCTGCAAACATAAATACAGCAATATGTATATATATATATATATATATATATATATATATATATATATATATATATATATATATATATATATAGCTATATACAATATACTATATACAATATATATAGTATGTAGCTACAGAGAGATGCTATGTTAGTGTAGCTTCTAGGTCCTGACAGGGAGAGGGAGAGAGGCAGTGTCACGGGGGTCTTTGGGCCTTGTTGATAAGGCTGGTAGCAGATGGGAAGAAACTGTTCTTATGACGTGAGGTTTTGGTCCTGATGGACTGCAGCCTCCTGCCAGAGGGAAGTGACTGAAATGTTTTGTGGCTGGGGTGCGAGGGATCAGCCACAATCTTCCCTGCTCGCCTCAGAGTCCATCGTCTGCTGTTATGGTTTATCATAGCAGGTTGGACGATTGCTTAAAGATGGCCGCCGTATTTCGTGCACTGCAGCAGCCAATACATGGGCAGACCATGTATTGGCTAACATTAAATTTTAGCCAATACATAGTAATTATGTTCTTAGAATGTATAACAAGCAGGAAGAGTAAAATTTAATGGTGAAATTCAAGCAAATCAAAGTAGGTCTACAGTGTTCTGAAACTACTACACCTTATTAAACAGGAAAAGTTTGTAAATCTAAGCTCTATGATGACACCTAAAGTATACCATTCTATGTAAGAAAATCAAATATGCCTTTATATAAGACAGATAAATATTTCACATTTTTACTCTGCTTTCAGGCGTGTTCATCACAAAGGGAGATGTAGGGGTGGGGACTATTGTGGGATCAGCTGTTTTTAACATCCTGGTCATTATTGGCCTCTGCGGCATCTTCTCCGGACAGGTTTGTGTGGCTTTGATTTTATTACCACAAATGTGGCCTTAACATTCATGCTGCAGCTTATTTCATTTTTCAAATGAATTTATTAATATAGCGCCAATTCACGACATATGTCATCTGAAGGCACTTTACAGAGACAATACTCTCCAATTGACCAGTTGATTGCATCCAGTCATTTACATGCAAGACACTATAAAGACTACAGTATATTAACACAGCATTATACAGAACCATTTAGAAGTATTCATATCTGTAATCTTTACTACATTTTGTTATGGTATAACCATAACTTTGACACATTTTATTCAGGTGTTAGATAAAAGGCTAACACAAAAAATGGAGGATTGTTATGTGGAGGATATTTTTCTTTTATTTTAAAGGTAGCATGCAAATATATTTTACTCTTTCATTTAAAAAAAATATAATAAATGAAAACCCTCTAAAGACCTCAGAGGGTATTTTTCAGAGAACATCAGCAAATTGTCTAAATATCTTTAGAAAGTTTTTATTATTATTATCAATCCTACTCTGTGTCTCCTAATCTTAGCGTTTAACGTGTCTCTCTCCCTGCAGCCCATTTCCCTGAGCTGGTGGCCTCTTTTCCGTGATGCTGTTTTTTATATCCTGTCTATATTGGTGCTTATTCTGGTGAGAAAACCCTTCAAATGTTTAACTTCTTCCCTTCTCACTTCCAACTCAAAATACAAAAAAACATGATTGCTTTTGTTAGTCTGATTGATAGTAAATATGGAGCTCTAATAGTGCCATGATCTCATTTAACCATAATCAAATAAAATAATGGATTACAATTCTTATTACATTTTTCAGTATTTAATATAATTTAAAAATAGATAAGTGTGTCTTATATTGGTCTTCACAAAAACATATAGTTCAGTTTTTTTCCAGCTCTCATAGTGCCGTAGGTGGGACTTCTGCTGCTTCAGTCCAATTGAAGTGGACATGCTGTGCTTCTTAGTCCATCAGAGCTTTAGATCTTTATCAAGGAGCCAATAGCTGCATTTCTACTAATTATTAAATTAGTAAACTGTTTTCAAGAGAATAAATTTGCTCAATGAACAGTTTATGCAGTTGGATGAGGGAGAATTTAGGCTGTATTGAAATTTGATGTATTTCACAAAACTTCAATTAAAACCCTTTTTTGCATCAATGAGTGAAATAGTTAACAAGCAGGTTTCACTAGTGGTCAAAACAGAGCAAGAAGACGGAAGAATGAAGTAGTAGTAGGAGGATGGAACTGCATCTTTTTTAAAGAGTTATAATGTAAACGAGCATATTCACATGTGATTTTAATTATTCAATAGAAACAACAATGCTGCAGTTCAGCAAATAAAATACACAATAAATGTTGAATAAATGCTTAGCTTTTTCAATACAGCTGCAATATACATTGACTGAAATGACAAGAGATTCTGTTTCTAATTTCTTATTTAAAAAAATAATCAGCACATTTAAATAACTAGGGATATGTGTATTCAGCTGTTTTTCTATTCATTTTAAATATTTTCTTGTTGCTTTATTTCCAGTTGTATTTTGATTATGACAATCAAATGTTATTATATAACTATTTACTTATTCATCATATTTTGACATTATAATACTGATGACATACTGTAAGATAGATAGATAGATAGATAGATAGATAGATAGATAGATAGATAGATAGATAGATAGATAGATAGATAGATAGATAGCAAATAGATCAAACCCTGTTCACCAGTTAATAAAACTTAACATGAACTGCAATGTAAAAAGACTCTTAATTAACACTTTTTTAAGCTGTAGCTAATTTTTGTTTTATTCACAGGTGATCTATGATGAAAAGGTCCTGTGGTAAGACTAGTTTACCTTTTTGAGTTTATCTGTTGTTTCACAGAGCAGATCCGCTGATATATTTGATGAATATTTCAGGTGGGAGACCATCATCCTCATCACCATGTATGGGATTTATATAGTCATCATGAAGTGAGTCTCCTCTCCTCATGTCTGTAATCATTTCTAGATCAGCTCCAGCTCCTGCTTTATTCCCAGCAGAGCAGATAAAATCTGTGTGTTTGATGTTGTGCAGGTTTAACAGACGCCTGTGCTGCCTGGTGGAGAGACACTGCAGCGTGGACGGCCAGCCATGTCTGAGCAGTCTGCGTCGGACGACCGCTGTGGGCAGCGTTGGAGACGGTGAAAACGACATGGTGCCGCTCAAGCCAGGTTAAGCAGCCCGTGTTTGTACGCGTGGCATGACCTCATCAACATCAAAAAGCTCCCCTTAGTGTCTGAGCATTGTTCAGGAGACCCAGTAACACAGTTTGGGCTGCCAATGAGAAATGTATGTTTCCCTGTGGATTTAAAAAGGACTGAAATAGAACTGAACCTCTTTTATGTGTTCGTCAGAGTTGTTCTTTTATGTGCTTCTAATTTCTGACATGCCTGCAGTTTTTATTCAGCCTGCAAAAAAATGTATTTTGAATGTTTTGTCACAAGACATTTGCAAACTTTAAACTATTTTACACAGAAGCAAGAAGGTCCTCTGGTCACATGAGACTAAAACTGAACTTTCTGACCTTCATGCAAAGAAAAACATCCATCCATTCTCCATCACGCTTATCCCTGCTGGGGTTGCAAAGGGTGCTGGGGCCTATCTCCAGCTGTCAATGAGCAAGAGGCAGGGTACACCCTGGCCAGGTCAACAGTCCATCGCAGGGCAACACAGGGACAAACAGGACAAACAACCATTCATGCACATACTAACACCTAAGGAGAATTCAGAGAAGCCAGTTAACCTAACAGTCATGTTTTTGGACTGTGGGAGGAAGCTGGAGTACCCTGAGAGAAACCATACATGCACAGGGAGAGCATGCAAACTCCATGCAGAAAGACCCCAGGCCAGGAATCACTGCAAGGCAGCAGTGCTACCCACTGTACCAACGTGCAGCTGCAAAGAAAAATAAGAAACAGAAAACTAACACTACACTATCTTCACATTAACAATCAGTCATGGCAGCATAATCGTATCCGGGGGTTTATTCTCAGATGGGGAAGGGAAACTAGTCCAAGCTGAAGGGATTTTAAAATTTTGACCTAAATCTAGTAGGAATTAGGATGGAACATTCAACAATTCAGACTGACTGAGCAGCAGTTGTTTTTCCAAAGAGGAATGGAAACAGCTCTCAGGTTTACAGACCAAAAGCACTTCAAATATCTATTTTCTTTCCATTTCACGGTTTGGTACTTATTTCCTTTTTGCCTAAATAACCTAAAAGTTTGTGTTTTTAATGTAACTGTATCTTCTTCTGGGCATAGACTCGTGTGTGGTGGCCAGTCAGGACTCCAGCCTGGTGACGTCAGACGAGCTACTAAACCTTCGGCCTCCACAGCTCAGCTTTTCAGAGGCAGGTCGCCACCTTCTCATTCTCCTGCACAGGGCAGCGTACACTGCTTCACTGCACATGCTCACAACCCTCACCAATGATCAGCTGGATGCATCACATATTCAAAGACCAAATCTTTTAGTGATGTTGATGTTTCATGGGTTTGTGGATGCAGATATAATCACACCAGTTTTGTCCTCAAGCATGGAACCTCAAGGTAAATAGAATAGAATAAAATTCAACTTTATTGTCATTACACTGTCACAAGTACAAAGAAATTAAAAGTTTGTATCTATCCAGAAGTACTATACAGGATACAAATATTTATTTACATGTGTACAGAGACTGTATGGACTGTAAATGATATATATAAACAGAGAGTAATTGTAAGAGGCTAGAAAATAAATAAATAAATAAATAAATAAATATGGAAACTATAAACAGATTATACAGGAAAATTATGATATGGATAATATATGGATTAGTGGGGTTATAATACAGGATAGATGATAGATAATAGCAGATAAAAGATTTCCAGATATATACAGCGGTAGTTGAGAAGTACGTGGAAGTGGTGTTGCATCCGTAGGTTGTTGTGTAGAAGCAGATAAAGCTGAAAAACGTGAAATATTTGGACTATTTCACATCCACTTTGTCACATATAGACAGCAGTAGGAGACCACATCTCTAAACAGGCCGGTTTGTTCTCCACTCTGCTGCAGAAACTACACATGCCTGTTCCTACTTTCTGCACACATCCCTGATCAGTGCTTCCTTAATCCCATCGGCTCAATCTGAGGATCTGTCTGCCTACTCACTCCATCGTTACCTTTAATATTATTGGATAAAACCTTTTCTATAAATCGTGTGGCGATGCTCTTCTTTCTCTCCAATCACACAGAGACAGAGGCTGATTAGAGCTCGAGTCAGCCCAGAGGAAGGCCTGGGGGAGGAAAGGTCTGGTGCTGGCGGGGGCTGGAGGAGAGAAAACGGGGCAGCGGCTGAAGGAGAACGGCAGCTGCAGGAGGAAGACAGGGAAGGGGGCATGGACTCAGGAGGAGAGACAGGTGGGGGTGCACCACTGAAAGATGAAGGGGAGGAAGAGGAAGACCAGGAGGAAGAAGAGGAGGAGAACTCTCCCTTCAAACCCTTCATCCTACCAGGCAAGTGAAAATAGTCACAAAGCAGCAGAACTGGGTTTACATTAATTAAATTCCGTAAAGCTGTAAGTAAAATTTCCTGCTGACCTTTTTCCCACTGTGCTCCCTGCAGTGAACAGTCATTTTAACGCTGGTGTGTCCACATTTTCACCAGAAGCTAGTCGCTCTACACCAAAAATGCTCCAAACCAGCAGGGCCTCAGCCATCAAAAGCAAAATATTGTTACATGTAAACAGGAAACAGCTACTAGCAGCTAGAGACTAAAGTAGTTGTTAAATTTGTACGGATCGTAATAAACTGGTCCATTAAAGGAAACAATTATTTGAACCGCTGAGCTTTAACAAACTTAAACAGTAGGAAAATATTAACACAATGAAAAGTATTTAGACTCTAATTCACTGTTTACGCTGTTTCAGTATAAACTACAGAAACTAATTATGGACAGTTGCGTTACCCTAAGTCTGTAAACTACTTTAAAATTATTTTATTTTAATTTTTTTCCAAACATGTCAGGTTCAGGAAAATACTTGGATCATATTCCAGAGTTTTCCGACCTTTTCAGTAACTAAATTATGCAATATGCATTTAGAGTCAAATGATCCAAATAAGATAAGATAAAACTATATTGTAGTAAATGACACTAATTAAGAGAAGGCCTGCAGACACATTTCAGAGCGTACCATGTCAATAATTGAATTATTTATGGGGGGACAGTTGTGTATGGTTGGTTTTCATCACACTGCAGATGGCTGGTGTGTCCGCCTGCAGTGGTTGCTCTCCTGGCCGCTGAGTTTCATCCTGTACTGCACCATCCCCGACTGTAACCAACCACGATGGGAGCGCTGGTATCTGATCACCTTCCTGTCCTCCACTCTCTGGATAGCCCTGTTCTCCTACCTCATGGTCTGGATGGTACGGAAATCAGCTCTCATACACGTTCCTGCTGGTTTGAAACAGAGTCACAGCAACTCTCTGCTCTGCTAAGGTGACCATCATCAGCTACACCCTCGGGATCCCAGACGTCATCATGGGAATCACCTTCCTTGCGGCTGGCACCAGTGTTCCTGACTGCATGGCCAGCCTCATTGTCGCCAGGCAGGGTATGTGATGGCCGCCTCTCAATATTAACATTCGGGATTCAGGGGGATCTTTATCACTGCTATGAGGCACAAAGAGATACAAAAATATATATATATACATATATATGTATATACATATATATGGTTAGTTTCCACATCCACAAACATTTGGGGTATTTGAATAAATCATGCTATCTGTTATTTATAAACTTTAAAAATGTTTAAGTATGACTCCAATTTAGGGCCATAGGTTTGAGGCCTAAAAAAATTATTTTGCAAGCTTGAAAAGAAAAATCTGGAAAAATAATTTGAATCTAAAAGGATGTTTAAAAAAAAACAGTTTTTGTCTTTTTAAAGAAACTTTATTTCCAGGTGTAAATTGTTTTTTATTTTTTTCTATTTTTTTGTATAGTTCTATTTTTTTTTCAAACTTTTTTTTAGGTGTACATTATTTGTATTATTTTTTATACAGGTGCATTTTTTTATATACTTTTTTTTCAGGTGTAAATTGTTTTGTTTTTTTTAAGAAACTTTTTTCTTTCAGATTGAATTTTATTATTTTTTATTTTTCCATTTTGCATCCAATATAGCTCCATATATATAACCATAACAGAGCCTCTTCCTTTTCTTTTTATTTTACTCAGTTGCTTTGTCAAAAAAAATAAGTCTAAGATGCTATGACTGAAAAAAAAACTGATTTTTTTTTAGCAAGGAAATATTTTCTTTAGCCCACTAAATGAGTTTCCTTATTATTTATGCAGATTTTAAATGAATTTGTAAAAACATGTTAGCACCTTTGTGGTGCTGCAGCTAACGTCGTGGCTGTGAAACCTTACAGGGATGGGGGACATGGCAGTGTCCAACTCTATTGGGAGTAATATCTTTGATGTGCTGCTGGGCCTGGGCTTCCCCTGGGCACTGAGGACTCTCATAGTCAGCTATGGATCAGTGGTAACACCAGCCTGTTCTCTCTGTTTGTCTGTGCAACAAAATGTAGCTTTGATATAGTCTGTCTGAAGCTGAAAATTGCCCGGAGAGAAACGTTAAAACCTTTGTTGTTGTTTTAACCTTCCCTCCTACACATAAACCTCCAGTCTATATGTTGTTTATTCATGGCTGCACTTCTAACCAAACTTTGGCTTCGTTTGCAAAATCAAGAGCAACACACAAATCAATGATTAAATGAACCCTTTTTCTTTGTAGCATTTTAGGGGTCAGTCTGGTGAACAGACATTACTGTTTGCTTTGCTGCAAATAGATGATTTAGACCCCTGGAAAACATGTCTTAGTATATTTTTAGTCAGGGAACCATTCTCTCCAAGTAAAGCTGATGAGTTCTTTTCTTTCTTTTATCATCACAAACACAAGCATGCGGAGTTTACTCGATGCTGTCGGTTGTTTTAACTCATGCAGCAGACAAGAGGTTTACAACATTACACACTTGAAGTGATTCCAGCATGAAAATGATTTAATGAGAGACATCTTGAGCTCAATGTTTATCAGGATCTGATGTTTTCTACCTGGTTTTGTCGTTGAACTATTTACTATCAGTTCAATTCAATATTGCTTATTTATTCTCAACACATGTCATCTCAAGGCGTTACAGTTCACCAGATCTTACAGTCAAATTGATCTGCTTTATGGTATTTTCCCAGTATACATGCTTAGAATAACACAAGTAGAGAACATAATGTTAAAACATTTGACCTGTTTGACCCTCCTGTTGTTTAGCTGTTTTTACCATGCGAGTCATTTTCTTTAGAAAATATTGTTTTTTTTAGACCAAAGCAGAGCTAAAATGAGTAGATGATGGGTTTGGGTTCATCACACGGCCTTAGAAATGGCTATGTGTGTGTGTGTGTCTGTGTGTGTGTGTGTGTGCGGTCTTGTTTCACCTGAAATGTGAGGGAAGTATTTTGAAAAATATCGTACATGCAAGGACTTACAGGTACATATGGGGACATTCAACTGGTCCCTATATGGTAAAGTTCTGTTCTTTGAGTTGGGGTTAGGTTTAGGACTAAGGTGTGAATTGAGTTTAGGTTAGGCTTAGGTACATCTTGGTAATAGTTAGGGTAAGGGTCTGGGTTAGGCCATATAAAATGAAGTCAATGAAATGTCCCCATATGCCATGAAACAAAGCTGTGTGTGTGTGTGTGCTAATGTAGCCTCTTTGCTGCAGCAGCTTTAAAATGCCAAAATTCTTGTTATCAGGCCGTTTCTGCTGCTGTGGCCAAATAAAAAATGTTTTATATATATATCTATATCTATATATATATAGATATATATAGATATTTATATATAAAAACCATCACTATAAATATATATTTTTTTATTTTATTTCAGGTGACAATCAACAGTAAAGGCCTGGTGTACTCTGTTATACTGCTGCTGGCCTCTGTCACTCTCACTGTGAGTAAATCTGTTAGGATACAGGATTAATCCTCGCCTCTCTGAGAGAACCAGATCCACTTCCTGTTTCCCCTCAACCTTTATTCTGACTTTACCTGGATGTTTTATTTCTCTTAGGCTAAAATTGCTCGATCGACTTTTAAAACTTTCTTGAGATCAAACAGGATGTAAAACTCGTATCATTAGAGCTTGGCTGTAGCGACAACATCCATCCATCTGTCTTTCTCTTTCTGTCCGTCCATCCTCAGGTCCTGTGTGTTCATCTGAACCGCTGGAAGTTGGACCGCAGGCTGGGCCTCTGTCTCCTGCTGCTATACGCCATCTTCCTTCTCTGCTCTGTCGGCTTCGAAAGGCTGTAGAGCAGAAACAAACCCGTCCCATAAACACAGACAGGTTGCCCCGATTCGTTTTCCTCTTTTGTCGACAGCATCAAATCTACACAACCATGCGTTTGAAATAAATATCGTAGTGGCTGTAGATGTTACTGAGACACCGGATGTCTATGAGTGAAGTTTACCTTTGATAAATGAGTATTTTAAATAGTTTTGTACTAAAGCACTTGAGAACCCCAGAAGAAAAGCACGTTGTGTCACAAAAAGTTTCTAAAATGAAAAATGTATATTCTTGAACCCCAAAGTGAGTTAAGATCTTAGTATTGGAAACATAACCTAAGAGAAATGTTTATGTGTTAAGGTTTACAGATTTGCTTCCCAGTTTCTGCACTTTTATCATGTTAAGTGTCCTCTTTTCTATCCCAGTTCTGTGTTTGTGACTTTGAACGACACAGCATGGTCATCCCAGTGTTTGCACTAACTCACTGTTATCCTGCCCAAAAGCTTACCAACTAGAATGTCTATTTGAAGGGTCTTTGAGTAACATTCCTGAGTTTTAAGTGCAATGATTCTTCTGCACTGTTGCCCCTTTGTGCTTAAAAAAATGAATCACCTTTCTATTGATCGCCTGCTCTAAAATTCAAACTTTGGAACAGAAATCTGTGTTTGGTGTTACAACCAGTTCTCTGCTGATTTCTAAAAACAAAATCATTTGCATCAAGAAAATTACTATTTATTTACTAAAAAAAATAAATCTATTAAATTGTCAAATACTGACACCTATTTATTTACCTGTGACAGTTTGTATGTATGACTTTCTGTGTTTCATGTAGAATAAAGCAAACTTCCTTTTGTAGCCATTTTCTGCAGCACAGACAGCGAAAATGTGTTTTAACTTTGTCCATGGCCAAAAGCAAAATATTTTAAAATAAATACCTGCCATGATCAACGACTTCACTCATTTATTGTTTTAAATGAAGCCAGACCTGCTGACTTTCCACTGATGGAGACAAAGAATCTGAGTAGCTCTGAGACATTTAGAGAGACATTAAAGAAAATAAATTTCTTCTTTGAATTTTACCTCAGAAGGTTGAAAGTCATTCCGTGGTGCAGGGGTCACCAACGTGGTGCCCAAGGGTCCTCAGGGGGCCTCATGGGGCGCCCACAGCATCTTCTGAAAACAGCACAACTCACCAGTTGAAATTCTATTCTGTTGCCCATCTTTTTAACCATTTATAGAGCATTTCATCATTTTAATCATACAGGAAATTTAAGCATTTATAGAGATTTAAAAATCCCAATATCATAAAGACAATTAGGAGCCAAAGGAAACAATAAAAATATGAATATTATGTATGAAGTTTAGGTGAAAGCTCATCCATCCATCCTACCTACGTACCGACCTCTTCCTTTTCTTTCTTCCCTTCCAATAAAAATATGATTATTATGTATGAGGCTCCAGTTCATAGGTCAGTATTAGCAGCCATAGCCCTTCCTATGACAGTATCCATGAAGTATCCCTACCCTAGAGATCATAATGTGAAAAAAAGATCAAAGTAGTGAGGTTTACTTTTAAAGAAAAAAATGCAGCAATAGAGAAAACTGATCCACCACCTAAGCTGTGAAATAAATGGGCAGATAAACCTGTTTAACAAATACAATTACTGAGATGTAAATAAGATAGGATGGGATACATTACTTTATTAAAGATAATATTAAATGAAAAGTACAAACATAATGGTACAGAGGGATTCTGATTGGAAAATTCTCATAAATATAAAAAAGTAAAAGTCCCAGGAAAATGTATACATAAATATACACAAGCTAAAGGTACAATATGGTTTCCATAACCTAAATAGAAGTTAAGAAATTCTCCTGAGTGATGCCAAAGGTTTTTTTTTTCTTTGATCAAAGGAAGTGAAGCTTATCTTATCACCAGCTGTAAGGAAGTTTGTTTTTTGGCCGATTATTTATTGTAACAATGATTCTTGGTAATAAAAGTTTTCTTCCAGAGGTTTGGATGCTGCTGCAGTGCACACATCCTTTAACAAGTGCATTTTTCTTACAAAAAAGACAAAAAGGGTTTCTATAACTACGTTATGTCCATTTCTGTATATAGTAACACTTATTTATAGAAAGGAAACTTCTCTAAACATTTGACAAGAAAATTATTCTGCCATCTAGGAAAAAAAAGACAAAAAAATTAAAAGGATTTTTCCTCTGAAGTATGTCATCAATCAATAAACCAAATGGTGTAAAAAACATTTGTAGTTTTCTTAATCACTAATAAACCAATGAGACAGTGGGGCATGATTCAAAATGATCTTTATTTCAGTCGGGCTAAATCAGCTTCAATACCAAAAAAATTTAAAAATAAAAATAGTACAACAAAGTACGTCATCTTACAAATACTTATGAAGAAAGTCTGACATAAACAACTGGAAGCGTCACATTCATAACAAAAATATAAAAGTCAATACAGTACATAGAATGGATTAGGAGCTATATATATATATTTATATGTCGAAGTGTTTGCAATATCATGGACTTTACAAATTCAGCTAGTAAAAACTCCCAATACCAATGGAATATCAGAGAATACAAAATGTAAATAAAAAAGAAACGGCTGGGATGAAAGTGTGTGCATGTTGCATGCAAATCAACCCCAGAGGGACGAAGGATAAAAACAGCTAATTTGAGAAGGAGTGTGTCTCATTGGCACCACAGCAATGTGTGAAATGATGAGAATTAAAAATAACATGATAAACATTTAATTATGATCATCCGTGATTTATGTAGTGAGCTGAAATATGAAGATCAGCTTAGCCAGCGAGTCGGAGGCATTTTAAAAGTGTTTGTTGATCTTGATGATGAACTCTGCTGTCTCAACACACCTTCTTCATCTTTTAAGACATTATGATAAAACATTGAACTCCGAGTGTTTGCGTCGTCTTTTTGGAGCCAAATGAAAGCCACCGTGAGGGTGGTGCTAAATATGAGCTGACTGAGCGGAGAGAGGAGTTGCTGTGATGCGTGTAGCATGATTAAGATACACAAAGGGAAACCTCACCGAAGCACGGTAAAAGGTTTGGTGGATGGGACAACAGCACACACCGACAAAAGCCACTACAAAAGCCCACTAAGAACCAGAAACGACAATTATATTTCTTAACCAGATATACGGTGACGTGTTCTCCGCGTAAAAATAGATCTTTTAGCTCCCTGCTGTGTCTTTGAGTGAAGGGGTTAAAAATAATCAGCTGTGATGCCAATCGTTCCCATCGAGACAGCAGCTACTGCCGTTACCGTGTGTAACAGTCCATTAAGAATGATGCTAATACACATATGTTACATGTCTGACAGCGAGTCTGGGGGCCGTTGTAGGCAGGTTTGTAGTGATAGTTTGATCCCTGTGTTGACTGATCTGAGGTCTGTTCATTTTTTGATCCCCCCCCCCCCGCCCGGCTAGCACTGTAGATAAGAGCGACTTGTAAAGCTGATCTGCGATCTGGCTCAGCTAGATCTGAACAGAGCCCCGGCGTGACGGGCTGAGAGGAGGTCTGACATTTAGGGCCGGGGTCCGCTGGGGGTCCTGTTGCTGAGAGGTGGGCTTCATGTTGGGACGTCACTCTGGGGCTGAGCTCTGGTTCTGCTGGTATATGGAGGCTTTGTCTTTTAGCAGAGCCAGGCACAGGTGGCAGCTCCAGCTCCCTGTTAATATTAAAACAAGAAAAGTTGGTGGATGGGCGGAGCCTGTCTGCTTCTCTGAGGAAAATATGGTGCCAGCATTATCTGGAAACCAAAATGATTAAAACTGCAGAAAGAAAAAAAGTTATGCATGTTTCTGTGTACATATATGAGAATGCATTGAAATATGGTTTAGTTATTGTATTATTTATGAAATGTGGTAATCAAAAGGTCAGAGTGTTTGGATGATCGCTGCCATACAGGCGATCCTCCACAGTCAGCTCACCCTCTGGTGGTTCGGTCATAGGGGGGCTTAGACAGTACATGTGGTAGCCTCGATCGCAGTCGTCACAGAAGAGCAGCTGGTCCTGCAGAAACAAAAACATGTTTATTACCTGATCCGAACTGCAATTCCTGTTTCTTTTTAATAGAAACATTAAACCAGTTCAAGCAAACGCCCAGAGTTGGTTTTAGATTTTGGTTGTGGATGGATATGCAGACAGACTGTAACCTTTTCATCGTCTCCAAAAAAGGTGAAGCATGAGAATTCATCCCCAGAGGAAAGCAGTTGACCTTTCCCATCGCTTATAATCAGGCTGCTGACATTTACTGGATCAGCACAAATGAAGGACGGGTGTTGACTGTAAGATAACCCCCACTGTCCTAAATATGCTCTTCAGAAAAACCACTTTCACATTTAGTCTGATGGGAAAAATCCCCAAAGAGGTTACAACTATAAAAAAAAAAGAAAGAAAAAAAACACATTTTTGCCTTTTCCTTTAATAAATAAAGCATTTAAAAAAAATTTTGTTGATCACAATGGGTCAAATTAGGTTCCCAAAACCATTAGTTTCAAAAAAACAACCCATAATCCCAGAATCACCAAAGCTAAAAGCTGGTTTATATTACAGCTCACCCCGGTCCCACTTAAAACAAGAACATCCAGCATTTTTATTGTCATTACACTGTCACAAGTACAGATTTACTCTGCATCCGCTTGGGGAGCAGTGGGCTGCCATTGTGTGGCACCCAGGGAGCAGTGTGGGGGTTAAGGGTCTTGCTCAGGATGGTCTTGTGAGAGTGGCAGTCTGTGGGAGTGGGGTTTGAACTCAGAACCTCAGGATTCTAAGCACAATGCCCCAACCTCTAGGCCGCCACTCCCCTAAGAAGGCATTAGCATGAAGGGTCTTGCCTAAGAACCAACACTGGTAGCTTATTCCCCTCCAGCAGGGATAAGAACCCAAGCTTCCTGTTTGCAGCATGGGTAACTTGCCATTTTAGCTAGCCAACCGCTAAAAACAAACACAGCCATTAGTGAAAGGAGTAAGCTTTGCTATCAATAAATCTTACAAGCAGAAAACATCCACATCAGATGGCTTTAATATTATCAAAGAGCAATATCTGATTCATCTGTAACTCGTCAAACTGTAGGCGAACCAGACTCCAATATTAAGTATTTATCAAAGGTGGAAGAAACTAAAAATTTAAAAATGTTTTTGCAATTTCTTAAAAATCAAAAGTGAGTTTAGTCAAAATGTTTGATTCGCAGTATGATGCAGACTCAGATCAACAAGTTTCTTTTGGCCTACTAAAACAGAAGAAAGATGACATGTCTGTTTAGAGAAGACAGGGAAGAGGCTCACATCGTTCTCTGAGGTGCCACAGACGTTGCAGCATTTGCACTCGATGCACTGCCAGCGGTACGTCTTCACAGCAGCCATCATCACAGGGGTGAACTGCAGACACGTCGGATGTCCTTCCACACAGAGAGGGAGACATTTTTAATCAACTTACAAAAACAAAACTTAAATCTTTACCAAACTGAACTATTTTTTTTTTTATAAACTCAAGTTAACAAGAAATTAAATAATACGATAATTTCTTAACTTCCAAAAAGAGTTAAAAAACAATCCACGGTTTGTTTAATTTTTTTTGGAATGACTATGACCTGGATGACTGAGAATCTTCACCAGCATAGATATAAGTTCAGGAAGTAAATGTGTCTTCTACATTCAAGCCATCTCTCAGGGAGCAGTGGATGTCTGAGCGACAGGAGGACAATCCAGCACAGCAGTCTGTGAATCTGCAGCCAATCTATTCTAACCACTAGGCCACCACTCCCCTAGTAAGCTTCTACCACTAAATCTGAGATTAAAATATGAAAACTACAGATTACATCAGTATTTCTATTGGATTACAGATAATACAGAGCTTTACTAAAGTTTTTTTTTTTTCTTTTTACACTAAAACCACAAACTTATTTCCATTTAAAGTGCAGGGACAATAGCTGGTGCAGCAAACAGACGCCACATCTGATTCAATCAGAGCATAAATCCAGCTGTTCTGCCTCAGATGCTAATGCTACAGATGCTGAGGAGACCACGATCTTTGGACAGGACAACTGTAAGTAATCTGACCTTTAGGGAGAAGAGGGATTTTTCAGTCTATGTGCAAGTGAAACATGGCGGTGGTAGTATTATGCTCTGGGGATGATCTTTTTCAGCTTGGATAAAAGAGCTGGGCTCAGCTGCTGGGAACATGAATGGAGACCACAATTGACCAAATGGTGGTCAAGTTGCTGCTTGTTTAGCTGCTCTGTTCTGTAGCCTCAAGCTAGAGAGTAGCTTGGCTTTATTCACTTTATGAGTCAGTGCAGTCGGTTCATCAGGATTATGATCCCACTAAAATATGCAGAGCCAGGCAGCGCTGGAAATCCGCGCAGGGAGCTCTGCAGCTTGTAGGGGATTTCCCGCTGCCTTTCGTAGAGGCTAGAAGTGAATATAAAGAGTTTTTAAGGTTTGTGGTAAACACAGCAAGTACAAGAATATACAATTGAATGTTTTTTTGTTGACAGGTTGTAAAATTTCTAGTTAATTTGGGTATTTATAAACTTTTTCGCCATAGTTCATAAAAAAATGTTTTAGTGCAGCAATGTTGATTAGAGCTCGCTCTGTTCCTTCTACACAATAATCCATGCTTCCGGGCTTTTTTTAACTGCAGAAGCAATGACAGCTAGTAGTGTTTGTCTCCCCCAAAGAACTCCTGGAACAGCTTTTCTGAACGGTTGATGCTCCGACATCCAGTGGTAAAAATTTAATTTGCTGAACTCTAGCATTGAACGCTCAGAAAACCTGGTTCATTAGTGACCACCATTTTTGTCCTAGGATCTAGTTGACATCTAGTGACATCACTGGAATCCAGCTTCTCTTAAAGTGCTGCAGAGGCACTTGCGAAAAACCGGTTCCCGACTTTCCATTTTTAAGGAATCTCAAAGAATACATTTCATAGTTTCTTCAGTGCTGTGGCTGAATGTTTAGCTCTTCTGTTCTGATCCCCACGGAAAAAGCTCCTACACAAAGTAAAACGCTACTGCAAGACATTTCTTCTTTAAAGGGGAATTTCAGGTTTTTTACATTTGGCCCTTTATTTTACGTTATTACATCATGTTCTACTCACCCATATGAGTTTTGTGTCATTTGGAGCCGTTCTGAAGATATTCGGTTTACTCATAGGAAGATGTTACCTGGATATAACCTAACTGAATATGTTCGGAACAGCTCAAAATGACACAAAACTCATATGGGTGAGTAGAACATGATTTAATAACGTAAAATAAAGGGCCAAATGTAAAAAAAAAACAACGTTCCCCTTTAAGAGCTCGTGAAAACAAAGCCAGGATCCTAGAAAACACTGCATTGCTTTTAATATAGAGAAGAGCTCCTACCTGACCGCCCGCAGTCTGAGCAAGACACCAGCTCCTCTGATTGGCCCGTTTTCTGATTCAAAGTCGAGTCCCCCAGGCAGAAATCGCAGTAATCGTTGGGCATTGCCAGTCCATTGGGACCCTTTTTTGTGGCTGTTCAGGAAAGAAAAACAACAAACAAAAACAATATTCCAGGTTCATTAGAGTAGAAGCTTTGGCCAATCCAGGACTGGTGAAACATATGAGTCCACTGCCTGATGTCTAACAAAGGAACCAGTTAAACTACCTTCAGTTCAGAAGCTTTTAGATACTGGATCCCAATATGATCAAAAGAATGAAAGAACGTATGAATTTCAAACATGGTGTAAAGTGCAAAGAGGAAGAAAAAAAAACCCACAGCAATGTGAAGGGATTCTGTGTTTGAGGAAATGATTGATAAAAAGTGCCAGATTTCCCAGATGTACAAACATGTTACAGTCAGAAACATTCAATCTGATCAAAATTCAAAATCATGAAAAATAATAATTAAAAAAAGGTGGGGAAATAAAAAGCACATACAAAAAAACAAAAACAAAAAAGAGGGGGGAATGAAAGACTTCCTTTTCACCAACACACGTGCTACAAGGCATGCAACCAAACCTCCCTCCTCTCTGTCTATCTGCCCCTCGCTCTCAGCACTGGAGGAGTAACTCACTCTTCTGCTCCTCAGGCTGGCGAGGAGTGGGTGGTGCCTCAATCTCCTCGTGGTCCTCGCCCTCCTCCTCTGCCAGGTGAGAGTGTGTATAGTGGTAGCTCAGGCCTGGGCGATTCTTGTAGCGCTTCCCACAGACTAATACACACACACACCGTCATACAAAAGTGTTATGGTGATTCGGGTTTCCCTTACAAAAACAAAACAAAAAACAGGGCCCCGCATGGAGCCAAGCTGGGAGTGTGGCATTCATCACTCCCCCAAAAAAGCTTCTTTTCGTTAAAATATTTCCACACAGTGATTTTAGGTGGACACGCAGGTAGCAAACTCAGACAGCAAAAGCACAGTGAGCTGAAGCCAGCATGTAATCAGACAGCACACAGACAGCACATCAGCTGGGAGAACACTCCTCTAAACACAATGCAAACTGTTGTTTCCAGGTTGGGGGGGGGGGGCTTCCAATTCATGCACATCCAAAGGCCTGCCTCGACCTTTCAGGGATAAAAGCAAAAGCCTCTCCTGCTGACATGCAAACAGACATCCTGCTACTCACTGTCGCAGGCGTACGGTTTGTCCCTCTCCTCCAGCGCTGCGGCTGCAGCCTCCGTTTTCTTCTTCCCGTTCTTGTCGCTGCGACCCTGAAAAAACAATTAAACACGGAAAAAGAAAAAAACTCACTTTGTACAGATGCAGTTAAATACTTAGAACTGAAACATTGAACTTAAAAAGTGAAATTCATTTTTATAGAGATACTTTAAACATTTATTTCTGTTCGTTCTTTAATATAGCTTATATCTAATGTATCTGCTTCTTGGATTATTTTATTATTTAAGACCTCTAAATGTGATTTTTAATACAGTGACCTTACATAGTTGACATGTTGTTGCGTTAAAGAATCATAGGGAGACTTACTTGAAGCTGTGTGACGGAGCCGTCACCGATATCCTCTCCTAACCCACCAATGTTCTTTGATCCATAAACATCTTAATCCTGTAGTTACCCATTTTCTGGGCTATTTTTCTTCTACAAAACGTTTTCCTTCCATTCAATTGTGGAATGGTTGGACAGAGCACTGAACAGTGAGTTGTGTGATGAAGAAAGTGTTTAATCAGCAATCTTTCTCCATGTTTGCTCAGGGCAAGATTGGCCTGCATATCTATTTTTATCTTTGTTTGCTTTGAAAACTTCTTATCTAAAAAGAAAAAATCTTCTCGTCACTAAAAATGTTAATCTTGACACAGAGTGCTGGAAACTTTGTTTTTTCCTTCTCTTTCATTCCTCGGACTTGTGTCTCCGTACATCACATCAAAGTTGGAACACTTACCTTGGATTTGCTCTTGCCTCGTCTTTTGGGGGTCTCATCTTCAAAGTCTTCATCATCGAGGTCATCTAAGTAGTCATCGTGGTCGAGCACTCTCTGCTGTAAGAATCTAAATTAGCTTGAGGTTCAAAATGTCAAACCTGCTTTATTTTCTGTATCTGAAAAATACTTTTAGATTGTTCTGTGTTTTTTTTAATCAGACTGTAATTGGACAGAACCGTCTCCACCGCAGACAGGACCTGGTTAGAGCTTAACGTCTAATCATCATTTTCCTCAAGGTAAACGATCATTAATGAAAAAGTCCAATGACTTATCAACTAGTGTTTGGTATCAGATATTTGAACGGACGGTGGACTTTCTGAAACTCTAATTAGATTGTACACACCTGGACACAATTGCTGGAATCTTTAGATTACTGAGAAAAAATAAAAAGGTGACAGACATAACTGGGATCTGAGAAAGTATTAAGTAATAATTAAGTAAGTAATGATAAATATAAATTCTATAAAAATAAACAGATCAAAGTCAGACACTGATTTTAAGAAATAAACATACTGAACAGGCTTAGACTAAAATTATGGCACCCTTAACTCAATACTCTGCTGTCCAACATTTTGAGTCAATTACTGCAATCAAACGATTCCTATAACTGTTGAAGATCCATGACCTGAGACTGAGACCAAGCTTCCTGATACTAAGCAGCAAATTTCTTTCTAGAATCCTTTCATAGTCTGGAGGTTTCATTGAACCATGTAGAGATTCAGACAACCTGTGTCAGATGAAGCAAAGCAGCCCCGCAGCATAACAGAGCCTCCTCCATGTTTCACAGTAGGGACAGTGTTATTTTCTTAAGATAAAAACGCACCCACACTACTGAATGAATAACTTGCCTTTAGCGTGTTGCAGAAACACTTTATCTACCAACAAAGTCCTGTGATACTTATGGCTACATAGTTTAACCGCTCTGCTTAGTTGAATTGTTAAACGCTCTTATTTGTTGTTTTTTTTAAGCATTTCCAATTACTTTTCATAAGACTGAAGTCAGAGTTGTACCAAAAGCTTAATGTAAGCATGCTATAATCATTTCAAACCAGTTTTAAAATTTATCTAGGATCCTTGTCCAGTCAGAGCCCAGTTTAACCCTGACTTGACATCACTGAATAAATATTTGTCTTCAGATAAAAGAAACTTGGTTAGGATGTTTAAAAACAGGCCAAGAAGCACAAAGCCTACATCCAAGTACAGACCAGACACCTTCTGGAGAAATTATTTATGGCTCAAATACCAGTGGTGGTGTGTAAATATTATACTCTTATAATGAATGTGAATTAAATAACAAATTCAAGTGTTTTGTCAACTTCTGACTGCAACTACAGCTAATTCTAACGCTTTCCCAAACACAGCGCAATCGTATCATCCATGCATTTCCAAACCATTCTCTAAACACATCGGGGTTTGAGAACATTCAGCCTAACCTTACGGATGCGCCCAGAAGACGTGTGAGTGACGGCTGACGTGGCCGGAGGCTCCACGGTGACCGGATCGTCCTCAGGAGCTCGAACATCGGCCACGCCGCTCCTCCTCTCCAGGGGTTCGCCTTTTAGCAGAGCCTCCAAGCTGCTTCCATCCACTGTTCCCAAAGCCTCACGCTTAAGCCCCAGCTCTAAATCTGCTGTGTTAAATGATAAAAACACCAACATGAGGAATGGAAGAGTATGGTGAGAGAAAAACATCCAAAGATCCATAAAAAGATTCTGCTACATACAATATAAGGGATTTTCTCAGAGTTATTAAATCGTACAATAGCTAAATGTGCCTGAAGAGGGAAAAAAAGTATTTCACCAAATGTTTTACCTGCTTTGAGAGGAGGGAAGGCCAAACGAGGGTCCTCTGGAGGATGGGAACGTCTCTTCTTCCTCCAACGGCGAGCAGGGTAAGAGTACAGCTGTCCTGGAGCTATACCTAACATTTAATTGGAGAGTGAAAAAAGGGACCAATTATAAAAGAGGAAGGATTGTTTATAATCTCAGGCTCTTTGGAATTACATCAAAATAAAGCCATAACACATTAACAATGAATTAACACTTTATTGCATCGCCAATAAAAGACTAAACTTTTTCAAGTAAGACATTAATTATTTACCTGCACTCCTGTGCCTCTTCTCCATCCAGATGTAACAGTTGGACTGTGCAACTCCAGTCTGAGAATCCAGGAAGGGCATGAGGATGCTGCGTTCAGCACAGAGACGGGCGTTGTAGCTGTGACACTGCTCCATTGCATCTCTATAATACTGCTCTCCAAGACTGGCAAAAAAAAAAAAGGCAGGTTAACAAACGCATAACAGGAAAGATTCTGACTACAACCTTGTTATTCTGCAGCACAAAGCTGCAATACGGTTTATAATTACAGTTTTATTACTAATTTAGTAGCATAGAGCTCTTTGAGCTCATTTTTAATTGTATCAAGTCAGACATGTAGAGGATAATATTCTGCAATGCGTATCCAGCAAAATTATCTTTTATATAAATCATTCAATTTAAGATGCATTAATCAATAAGTCACTTTTTGTTTGACTGATAAATGACACATCAACTTATTCAAATCATCATATGCATTGAAACTAAAATCTCACTATCTTTGATAAATAAATCAGTCACCTACATTTTTTTCTGAAATGAAAATCTGATTAAAGTTAGGATAAATTAGTATAAACCTATTAAAGATTCGCCAGGATATTTGTGTCTTAGTATTGGACAGAAACCAAGAAAAACAGCCGTAACAAGATGTCACTAAAACAGACAACATAATCATAATCACTTCCTATTTACATTACTTTATTTTCCAGATTCCAATTGTAGAAGTACCAAGATCTTTTTCAAGACTTTTTTTTAAAAGCATTAAAGCACTTCCTGATGAAATCATGGCACATATTTCTGGTCAGGCTTAGATGGATGTATATCATCTTATTTTCTTCTACTATATATATTCAGACTTGAACAATAAGAAAATATTTTCATCTTTTTTATTTATTATGAAACCTGACCAGAGGATACTATTGTTTACACAATTGACAAGCTAAAACTAAGATGGTTTCATAAAATGATCAAACAAATGAAGGTCTTTGTAATAACTTCCCAATTACACTGATCAATAAATGATCAACTAATCACACTAAAAAGCTTCTGAGATGCTTTGATGTTGATGTTTTTCTATTCAGTCTCAATTCACAATACATGCATTTCCCATTTCTTTAAGAGGCAAGTCAATCTAAATAATACTTAAAGAATAAAGATATGTGCAAAGATTCAACTAAACAAAGATCAATCAGTGCTCCATTAAACTGTAACAACACCACACCGGTAAATAAGATGCATTTGGAAGAGAATAACCTCTCAAACAAGGGAGTTCATGTGATCTGATTTGAGTAATTTTATCACATTTGTGGGAAAACAGCTGTTCTCATTGAAGCAGCCTGATGACGCGGATCGTCCCCCCCCCCCCCCAATAAATAAATGTTCTCCTAATTTCCCCCGTAAAACATCGAGTTGTATTTATGAATCATTCTACTTTCTGACTTTAGATACTAAATTATAGCCATATTTGTCTAATGGACACAATACGGCTCATGGTTTCAGAGCAAAAGGCAGGATTTACAGTAGCGTCGGAGAGCTGCCAGAACAAAAGGTTGATTGTTAGCAACAAAGCGCCCGCCAACTGGGCACTTTACTGAAGAATTAAGTCACTCCATTCTGGATAGACTGCCTGAATCTTTGAGGAATCGCTTTCTGTAAAATCACCCTAAACAGACCCCGAAGAGGCGAAAGGTTAGACACAGATACTGGTTTCACAATGAGCTCACTTTCTTCTCTAATTGACCAGAGCTAGGAGAGCTAACTGTAGCAAAAAGATAACGTAATTCTCTTGGGACATTTTTTGTATTGAGCAAGAAAGAGAGAGGACAAATCCAGCGGACTACGCAATCAAATGATGACCGATCGAATGAAAATAACTGAGTGGGTTCTACACTCTTGTAACAAATAAACGTAAACTTACACTTTCACAACACTGTCGACGGCCGCCGCCATATTTGCTTATTGCGGTTGTGTGAAGGACCACTGCGCATGCGCAAAGACCGTTACTGCCTCCCACAATGAAAAAGAAGAAAAAAAAACGAATAACCAACACTAGAGGGCGCCATCACACTCATCCGTTGTGACGAGGTCAAGAAGAAGAGTAGGAACGTAGGAAGCCACCCAACCCCCCTCCAGCTAAAATATGTTTTACAACTGGACAAAAATAAGCCCTCTTTAGCGTTTTATTCATCAACACAAGGTAATTATTTTAAAATGATCTGAATTGTGATGGGGATATGTTTTAGGAGCTGAAGCTAGCTAATAAACAACTGTTTTGCCTAACCGTTAAGATCGTTTTGGTTTTCTTTTACAAGTCAAATGTTATTTGTATTTATTTCAGAAACCATAAAAATATGACTTGTGCACATACAGCCGTTTTATTTGTCGGACTTTGTTAATAATGTGTCGTTAAAGTTGATTTTTTAGCTCAGCATTGGCTGCTGCTGCATGGAATCTTGTTGGACACCTGGGTTAAAAACAACCTTACTCGCCTAAAATATTTTACAGTTAAATTAATTAAAAACAAGAGACGTCTTTACTTCAGATACATTTTTCTTGCTTAGAAATCTACAATGCCAACAGTAACAGGACATCCACTATTAAATCACAGCAGCATTTTCTTATTAAATCAGAAAAAAAGACAGACCAATTAATTTAATAGGTGAACTACCCTTCCTTTGTTTTCAATTCTGTCATGGGTGCCATTGTGGCCAAATAATTTGGGTTGCTGTTTAATTATTACTAATGACCTTAACTTCATTGAAGCCCCATAGTCATAGAAATGGCATGTAACCTTTATCAGACTGATAGATGTAAATAAGAGTGGAAAACAGTTCTATTACATAGAACTTAAATTCACAATCTTCTCTCAGTTAATTTTAAAATAGTTTATGGATCCTAAAGGGAAATTAAATACGGTTACAGCTTATCTTTACTAACATAAGAAAATATAGATGTTGGATCTAATTGGTGAAGTGCACCTCCTACTATCATGGTGGGTGAGTTTTGGTTAGGGTGCTTTGTTTGCGTGCAGTAGTAGATTTATTAAAGGAGAAGTTCGGTTTTTTACACTTTAAGCCCATTTTCTGTAGTGTCCAGGATGAAATCGAATGATCGACACCAAAAGTTTGACAATTGCTCCTGTCTCTGCTTTTTGGCTCATTTAGAATCCACCCCTGGCTGCTTCATAATGGCTGCCATAGTGCATGTCCGATAATGTCCTTAAAACAACCTTAAACGTTCTTTTTTTTAAATATGCTACTCACCGGGTCGTCAGCGCTGTTCAATGACGTTCCAAAAAAAGTTTTGTGAAGAAAAAACGTTCCTGTAGTGTTTTATTTAGCATTTTGTAAATCCCATTGAGTTCTGTTGGAATAGTCAATATTCCCCTGCCACCGGAAACGGGGCCTGTTTACACAGTTGTAGTCTTTTTGCTTCACTCTGTGTACTCCGACGTCGAGGTGCTAACGTCTCTGTTAAACACTTTAAAAAACTCTGAAAATGGAATACGAAAGGTGGATTCTTGATTCTCGACGTCGGAGTACACAGAGTGAAGCGAAAAGACTACAACTGTGTAAACAGGCCCCGTTTCCGGTGGCAGGGGAATATTGACTATTCCAACAGAACTCAATGGGATTTACAAAATGCTAAATAAAACACTACAGGAACGTTTTTTTCTTCACAAAACTTTTTTTGGAACGTCATTGAACAGCGCTGACGACCCGGTGAGTAGCATATTTAAAAAAAAGAACGTTTAAGGTTGTTTTAAGGACATTATCGGACATGCACTATGGCAGCCATTATGAAGCAGCCAGGGGTGGATTCTAAATGAGCCAAAAAGCAGAGACAGGAGCAATTGTCAAACTTTTGGTGTCGATCATTCGATTTCATTCTGGACACTACAGAAAATGGGCTTAAAGTGTAAAAAACCGAACTTCTCCTTTAACAAGAAGCATCAAAGGAATGTTTTAAGAGAACTGATTTTCACAAAAATCATCTTCTGTAACTGCTTTATTGCATTTTAAGAGCACGCTATAATGAATGTATGTATCTTGATTGGGGAAAACAGTAGAAGTTTTTTTTTTTTACTTTAACAGATACAAAGCACTGTGACCATAAGCAAGTATAAATTGTCGGCTCAGCTGTTTTCTAACAATTTCTAGAAACAAAAAGTAACTGCTCACATTTTTCCTTCTCTTCAAAGCTGATCAGCATTATTACAGAGATGGAGGCGGCTGGAGCAGATGAGACTCCGGAAGCACTGGGGGCTTCGGCAACAGAACAGAGTCCCCCTGGACACAGTGAGACCTCTTCCAAGCCCATTAAAACTTTGCTGGAAGAAGCCGTTCAATTGAAAATGAAAGGAAATGCCTTCTACAAAGAGAAAAACATCCGCTCAGCTATTGGTTATTACCACCGTGCCCTGCTGGTACTTCGAGGCCTCGACTCCAACGTTATGGCAGCAGTGAAAGGGTTTGGACCCGAGAAACCTCCTCTTACGTCGGAGCAGGAGGCTTTGCTGAGAAACACCCAAGTGGACTGCTACAATAACCTGGCAGGTATAGAGTCATTCTAACATCTATAGCTTCTCTTGGTTTAGTGGAATGGATGTTTTTGAATTCCTTCTGTGTTTTAGCTTGTTTGCTGCAGAAACAGAAGGTTGACTATGGCCGTGTGCTGGAGTACAGCCTGCGAGTGCTGCAGTGGCAGCCAGGCAATGTCAAAGCACTGTACCGAGCAGGAGTGGCCACTCTGGAGATGGGAGACGCTCAGACAGCCAAACAGTATCTCACCAAGGTCAGCAGACAGCAACCTAATGGTAAGAACAGAGGCGTGTCTCTGTGGTGTTTGTTCAAGCTTGTGATGGGGATGCAAAGCAGGGCAGTGGGGTTTTCAAATACATCAAAAAAATCCATATTAGAGACATGCTCAGCTTTTTTCAAGGTGTAAAAAGGAAAAGCAACCATATATGATACTGGTAAAGGTCAGTTATTGGCCATAACAGCAACAACTATAATAATATTGGGTGTCAGGCCAAACTGTTAACCTTTAATTTATTCATTTTACACCCTCAAATAAAATGTATTAGATTAAAATTTACAGGATTCATCAAGCGTCCTTTTTATTTTATTTTACAAACCAAAGTTTATTCCTGGCTGCATTTTTAGGGTCGTTGTCCTGCAGAAAGGTTAACCTCAGCTTAGACGTTCAAACCTCTAACAGGTTTTCTACAAAGAATACTTTGTTCCTTACCATTCTTCCATGAAGGTCAGATTTATGCAGTGTACAACTATAAACTTTGATTTCCACTTTGACTTCATCTGAGCTTTAAACCTCTGCAGCTTATCTGGGGTTCCCTCCTGTCTGCTGCTGCTTTGATTGATGCTCTTTGTCTGCAGACTTATATAATTAGGTTTGCAGTCATGCATTGAATGAAGCGGAGCTCTGACAGATGTTCAAGGCTTTAGATATTGTTTTATAATGTTATAATCAAATTTTGAGTAAAAATGCATGAAACACTTTTTAGACATGTTTTATTTGGAGATAAAATAGTTAAAAGCATATTGGTATATCACATAAAAAAGGTTATGTTCCATGTAACACAATATTTGGGAAAATAAAGCAAACTCTGGAAACCCTTTTTTTTATGCTAAACTTAACAAAAGAAAATATACCGTAGTTACACTAAATAAATGTTTTCTCTCTTACAGATGCTAATGTGAGGGAGCGCCTGCAGAGGGCAGAAGAGAAGCTAAACCAAGAGCTGCAAAAAGAGAAAGCCATGTATCAGGGCATGTTTTCCTCCCGATCAAAGGATGGCCCTGCAGAGCGGGTCAACCCAGCAAACAGGGCAGGTGATGGAGTTTAGACAACTGGCTCAATGTGCCAAATAAAACCTCAACCTCAGACCGGCTGGACCAACTGAGAGCAGAACACGCACGTTAAATCAGTAACGTTATGCGAGTTAGGAGTTTGAAGAAGCAGCAGGAATATAAAGGTCTCTGTGGATTACAGACCGCTGGGTAGCAGCGAGCAGGACAGTAAACATGTCATGGCTCAAAATAGAAAGAAGAGGACAGAACCGTTAGTTTCCTAGCAACATGGAAATGAACAGTCTTATAATCTGTGCTCATGTTAGTCAGAATGACTCTTTATGCACTACCAAAAAGCCTCTGATTGTCTCTTCACTGATATGAATGTTCGTTTTTGATTTTTTTCAGAAAAAAAAAGTTTCCTTTCTCTTTGTTAATAAAATAAAAAATGTCAGACACAACACGGTATTTATAAGCTTTTATTTGTCATAAGCCACAAGTTATTCTTGTTCGACTCTTTACTTTTATAATTCAATAATCATTTCAAAGTCCTGAGCAAAATATCAAGTTAAAGAGTATTTGCCTGGTTCTGGTCACCATCTGGCCAATATGATTGTACTTCAGAGGCTGTATTGCCAACAATTAAGAGTTTCACATTCTCACAACAGCTATTTTCACTGAACGAGTCACAGAGCAGCATGCAGAGCGGGGAGTATGTGTGCACACATTCATTCTCATGGTTACAGGGGAGTTAGAGCATTATGCAACTACCGTAAGCTTTTTATAGCCAGTAATGAGTTAATATTCAGTATGTTGAAGCTGAGCCACAAAATCTTCCCAGAGTTTATTTATTTTAATTGGAATTTTTTTAAAGCACAAAAAAATATGTTTAAAACACAAGAGATTGTGTTTTTTTTTATTCACTTTAAATAAGTATTTGGTCAATATTCACAAGCACATGAATTTTCTATCCAAATAAATGTGTTTTCACCCTCAAACGTGCAAATTAATCCTTTAATGCAGCAGCACAACCCAAAACACACAAAAAAGAAAACCCCAACCTTTAGCTGGAGTTATCAGGTTTACATGGTTTCTGCAGGGTCCTCTGTTTAATAAAATATGTTAACTCTTTGCAAACATTTGTTTAAATTAACAAGAAGGCTTATGCTCCCCAGAGGGGTTTAATACATTTTAAGAGAAGAATATGAGCATTTGA